GTTTTTTGAGTGTCCCGTTTTTGTCTTTGCGCGTGGAAAGATTTGGTCCGGTCGAGTCGACGAGATTTCAAGCGTGTGAGCGGTTTGCGGAAAGGTACAATTTGGATGGGAATGGAAAAGGAAACGGCCGAGAAATTTGGGAGGATTTGAAGAATTATATGTTCGGAGAAGGGTCTTTCTTGTCTGCAATGCGGCGGAAGGATTCTTTTACATCGGCCCGACAATTTTTGACCTTTACATTCGACATGGAAAAGATTGGGAACCGGGAATTGAAATCGTCCGACTCGGCTGGATCATATCAGAATACTGCTGCTTTGATATCTTCAATTATGGAGAATTTCGCGGTTGAAATACACAAGGAAGATCAAGGACAATCGGACTAACATGTCTTTGATATCTTGCAGAAAACCACCCCCCTCAACACCCCCAAGACCCGGATCAGCCGTACCAAGGGCCAGTCTTCCCGCCGCACGGCCTTCGTTCGTGAGATCGCCCGCGAGGTTGTCGGTCTTGCCCCCTATGAGCGTCGTATCATCGAACTCCTGAGAAACACTCAGGACAAGCGCGCTCGTAAGCTCGCCAAGAAGAGAGTACGTTTGCCATTGCCTTGCCTTTGTTATTTGGAGGGAGGGTATGGTTGGGAGGTTCGATTGTTTGCTTGTCCGCTTGCTTGCTCGCTCGATTGTCTCTTCGGTTTCGGTCCGTTGTCTATGTGCATCGTGTTTTTCGACATCTCCACGATTACGCTTGATCGACATATACGAATCCATCATCATTCCCGGATATTTTCGTGGAGAAAAAAAATCGCCGTCGACAATCCATACATCACCAAACAACTACAATACCAGTCGAAGACGACAACTCAAACCGACGAAGCAAGCAACACACCAACAACAGAACCATCGAGCAAAGAAGCAAGCAAGCAAGAAATCTGAACTACCACTATCAACCTACCCACCTCCAGCTCTCCATAATTTAAACCACCTGCTAACATGCAATCTCCTACAGCTCGGTACCTTCGGCCGTGGCAAGAGAAAGGTCGAGGACATGCAGCGTGTCATCGCCGAGGCCCGCCGCACTGGCGCTCACTAAGCTTCCCATTTCTCTATCCTCAAATATCTCCTGTTTCCAGTTTTCTCTCTCTCCTATTAGCCAAGAATGAGATAACGAAAACATCCCACACCCAACCTCAAAAAATGAAATGAAAGTGAAAGTGAGAAACAAGCAAAATCATGTTTCAATACATCCCTCTCTCTCTCTTCCTCCGAGTTGTAAATTAGCCCCTAGCTCCTAGGGCGCAATGCGTGGTGTGAGGGATTGTGGCTGGTAGGGGCGCTTGACTTGATCTCAGTACTTCAGCCCCCACAGGCCTCTTTCACGAGTTTGTCTTGGAGGACTTGGGGTGGAGTCTGGGGTTGATGGACAGGAAAACAAAAAAGGAATGAAATGAGAAGGGCTTAGAAAAACGGAGTTTAATACAATACCACTGCACTACTGGGATTTTTTTTCTTTGTTTTGGGTTGGTTTGCTTGTTGATGATGTTTTGCTTTTGGTAGGTTTATTTGCTCGTCTACTGTAGATGTACTTCGTAAGGAGCTTCACTACTACTTATATACTATCGTTGGGGAATGAACGGAACTATGTGTTGGTATAAGACAGCCATAAGACTATCATTTGTACGTTGCGTAGGCTGCTTGTTGACATCAATCATGACTATTTCGCTATCTATCTGCTACTATATCTTTCATTTCTTGCCCGGCAACTTCAACCATTTAGGCATTCCGCCCGGTTTCCGCTTCTCGCCACGAGCCCCGTCTCCGGTGCTTGTCGGCTTCGGCCTGCTAACTTCTGAGTTATCTGTTATGTCCTTGGGCTGCTCGACTTTGAGTTCCTGCGCGCGTGTCCGCAGTTCTGGTTTCAATAGTTCCCGGCTTTGCCGGGCGGCCGGGGATGCGTTCGCATCCCAAGTGAAGTTGACCAGCACACGGCCGACCATGGCTAGATCCTTGATCAGCAGCTGCTGGTCTGAGTCAGGGACAATGTTTTGAATGTTTCTCCCCGGCTGTCCTCCGCTAGATGTCTTGGGGAGGGAGGTTGTAATGGTGAATTTCTCGCTGGCGAATGGCGCAGCGAGACAGTTTCGAACAAAGTCGTAGAGTGACTTGCCCGTATCTTCCTGTCCAAACTTGGCCACAACTTGGCTTTGGTCTGGTAGGCGCACTTTGACGTCTACTTGTGTGACTGCGGCGAGTCGCTCCTCTTCTGCAGCTGCCTTGGCGGCGATTTCGGCGTCCGTGGGGAGCCGTTGGGGTCTGGAGGTTGCGTTCAGTCGTCGCTGATGAGCCTGTGCGTGTTCGATGGATGGAATATAGTCGGTTTCGTTGTAGTTTGTTTGTGCGGACTGGGGTGTGGTGTTGGAGGGGGGAGAGAACACCGTTATGGGCCGGGAGAACCCAGTTGGTACCTCGGTGGGTTCTGCAGCAGGCGCATCAGATGTAGGAGCAGTTGGTAGGGTCTGTTCAGTGGCCGAAGGTGCCTCGGATGTAGATGCGGGTTGTTGCTGTGCCTCCTCTTCTTTGTTGGATGTATCAGGCTGTGGTGGTTGCTCTGTAGGTGCAGGCGGCTCTTCGGCCTTGGGGGTCACGTCGTCGAACGGTTTGAAGTACTCCTCGATCTTGACCATAGCCTCATCCAAGGGTTCCTCTGTACGGCGGAAGCTCAGCCGCAGCAGCACATTTCCGTTATTGAATCCCAGCTGCGCCAAAGACTTCTGCAGATCGGTGAACGAGGAAAGTTCCCGTTCCATAATCTGAACGACCGGGGTTTCGTAGTACAGTCTTCCTGCACCTTCATTGCCACTGGGGACACCTCGTCCAGTCAGATTCCGGGTCGAAGCACCTCCAGCAACCCCAGCCTCGAATTTGCGCAATACTAGCCATATTGTTGTCGTGCTGGGGAATTTATCCAAGAGTCGTCTGTTTGGGGGTGCCCCTCGTGCTTCTGATTCGGGCAGTTGTAGAGCGACGGTGACGACGGAGGGCGAACGGGAGAGCTGAACCAACTCCAGCTTTGCGCCGGAAGTGAGCCCAGAGAGGCGAAATACCAATGAAAGATCGAGCTCTTTACCTTTGTATCTTGACAAAAGCCGTTAGTCTTGTGAACTTCGTAAGCTGGGCGTAGTTGATGCTTACTTTAGTCCATGTTGGCTAGCATCCACACCTAGCTTTGTACAGGCTTCTTGTAGAACATCAGTTAGATGCTTCCCAGGTGTCGTCTTGATAGTAGCTCGTCGGGCTGTGGAATCAAGAACCACGACATGAGAGCTCATGATTTGAGAGGGATTGGTGTTGCGGGGCGGGGAGATGAGGTTGAGAATAGGACAGGGAGAGTGGCCGTCGACTGGCTTGTTTTTGCAGCAGTGACCGACTGTGTAATCGGCTTATCTACTCAAATCCAACTAACAAAAGTCTAGACCAGTAGAGTGAGAGAAGAGGATGGGGAGGGTGAGGGGAAATGGTTGTTCAAGGCGGAGGGAAATGATTGTAGGCAGCGGGCGCAAGCGTCATCGGCAGAAGCTCGGCGGCTCCACGCGTTGCTGGCAGAGCTTCAATCACTCCTCCATCCATCCATCCTCCGCCCATCTTCCATCTCCCATCGCCTCAACCCTCCCTCTACACGCTCACATCTTTCTTTATCTCTTGGAACTCGACTCGCAAATTCATATTCGATCTTAATCTGAGCTTCTAGTCGTGCAATTCTTTCTCAACCATGGTATGTGTGCTGTGTGACCGTCACCTCTCACTCGAACCAACCTAGCTGACAGACTTCCTCCACAGAGTTCCCCTTTCGATATCAGTATGTACTAGCTTCGCACAGCTTACCATCATACCTACTAACTCTTGGATGAACAGATGGCGGTGCCTGCGTCGCCATGGTGGGCAAGGACTGCGTCGCAATCGCCTGTGATCTCCGGTTGGGTATGCAGGCCCTGACTGTCTCCAACAACTTTCCCAAGATCTTCAACTACGGCCCCTCTACCTTCCTCGGTCTGACCGGTCTGGCTACCGACGTGTCGACTGTGTCCGACCTTTTCCGGTACAAGGTCAACATGTACCGCCTCCGCGAGGAACGGAACATTGCCCCCCAGACTCTCGCCAACCTGGTCAGTTCGTCGTTATACGAGAAGCGGTTCGGACCTTTCTTCGTCAGCCCCGTCATTGCCGGAATCAACAGCACAACGGGGAAGCCATTCATCTGCGGATTTGACAGTATCGGGTGTATCGATTTTGCGAAGGACTTCATTGTTAGCGGAACTGCCAGTGAGCAGCTCTTTGGTACCTGCGAGGGCCTGTGGGAGCCGGACTTGGTAAGACTCCTCCCTCGTGAAAAGAGAAGTGAAGGTGCTGGTGTCGAGTCTGTACTAACACCATGGTTTAGTCTCCCGAGGACCTGTTCGAGACCATCTCGCAAGCCTTGCTGAGCGCCGTCGATCGAGACGCCCTTTCTGGTTGGGGTGCACAGGTGTATATCATAGAGAAGGACAAGGTCACCAAGCGCCTACTTAAGGGAAGGCAAGATTAGATGGCATTCTCTGGAGTATAATTGTTTTCTAATGTCACGCCGTTCGTCTGTTCTAATTTACGTCCCTCAACATGGAATCTTGCTGTTGATAGCAGTCTCTGGCGCCGGAGGTCTCGACTCAAAGATACGTGCCGTCGATAGAGATTGGCCAAACAGAAAATGAGTATTATGAACTATGATCAAACCCTGGATATCCATGCTTGGGGTCTAGACTTGCCGTCTAATACATAATAGGCCGAGTTAAGGGTACGAGCTACCATGTGTCTTACACCCATCGGCTCCTACCTTTAATGTCTGGCCCGTTGTTTGATTAATAATTATGACGGGCTTGAGCAATACGACGTAGCTCTCATCACAACAGTAGGAAGGGTGTCTTTGGCTTATTACGCAGGTAGTAGGCATCTACATACCGGCGGCAGATCAGTCTTCACACCCTCGCATGCTGCAAAGCACACCCCCGGGACCAATACCTTGATTCGCATCAGTGCTTCGAGGTCTAGGTTTTGGTTCTATTTTTCATTTTTCAGTTTCCCACTAAGGGCCGCGTGACGGGGATGGCTGCTGTACGCTTTAAGGAAGTTTTATGCCGTGGGCTACCCGGCCCGTAGTTTCGTAACCCTTCCGGTACAGTGGAGACCTCATACGTACAATGTGAATGCCCGGATGGCACAGTTGCATAATGGCATCTGCCACCCCGGTCGAGACCTCGCCGTCCGTGCATATCTGGGGAGGAAGATGGAGGTTGACTGGGAAGCCAACTGATGGGAGGAAAAGGAACAGAACAGGTTAGTTGGTAAGGATGATTGCAGGATGAAGATATGATGCAAAAGTCGTAGGAACCGATCGGGTTGCGAACGAGGAAGAGTCTGGGTAGAGTCTGGGTCGGGAGGTCTCCCGGTGACGGTTAAGAGCCAGTGAGAAAGCGTGGTGACGGTGTTGACGGTCGTCACTCATAAGACGAAGGAGGGTCTTTCTACCTCCGTAGGCATCTTCATCCATGGATCCTTTCCCACTGCTGGCGAGGTACCATGTGCAACCCACGAATGCTGAAACTGGGAAATTTGTCCCGGAGCAAAGTGAGAATAATTTATCCATAGCAAGTGTGTGCAGTAGTGTAAGTTTAGTAGGCAGGCATGCAGAGATAGCCACGGGGTCCAAACCGGTGCTGACCTCCCCCCGGCCGATCGCAACCTTGAATCCCCTTTTTCCCCATTTTGTGTGATCCTTCAGTCATCCTGGACTTAGGGATTCCCCAGAACCTTTTTTGCAACGCCGGGACAAGTTAGAGTCTCGAAAGCAAGCGAGAGCCTGGTGAAGGGGAGGTCCAAAACTTGCCAGCATCTCGCTCCGTTTCAGCCTCCCCGCGTCTAGACCTGGCGATCGGCCCAAGTTGGCCCCATCGATTTCTCAGGCTCGCTTCTTTCCCCTCCTCATCGTCCCATTCCTGGTCGCTCCATCTCATCCCGGCCTGGATTCTCTATCTCGCATTCCGTCACTCTTCCTTCCTTCTCTTCCTCCCTCCCCCCCATCCCGTCTCCATCTCCCGATCTCCATCGCCCCTATCCCTCCTCTTCTACTGGCCGTTTCGATCTGGCATCCTGGCACCCCTCTCTCCCCCCATCTTTCTCTCTCTCGATCACCATCCGCCCGTTCACCGGTTGGTCTGTGCCATTTATCTCTGCCCCAGAATTTGACTCGGCCAGTCGTCGAGGGAACGCTTCTCAACCATCGCGATAGAAAATCGAAAGACGGATCGATCTTCAGGGGTTTTCAGGAACGGGAAAAGGAAATCCGAACAATATAGCTGAATCCGAAGCATCCAGCGAATCACCTACAGATTCTTTCCAGCGGAGAGAGAAAGCGGAAAAAAGGGAGATTTCTCCCCCCAAAGCAACAGAACCTCTCGGTCTTCTATTGACCAGCTTGCACCCTAATATCCTTCGAGTCATTCATCTTGATCCTATCGGAGGATAATATAATTTCCAAGGCCGGTGCCTGCTCTTTTGCAGAGCATCCCCCGCGGTGTAGCTCAGCGTGGGCTTCATCTTTTCTATCGACCCCAAAGTGATGTATGTATTGAAGAGCCAGAGCCATCTAGGACGGGCATTGTGCTTGGTAGCCTCCTTCTATCCCTACTACACACCCTGCTGGCATGAATATAGCTAACGAGGCTCCTGTTTGACTGACCGTACAGACCGAAAGCCATGCGCTGTGCCCCTTCCAACAATCTGGGACTTGATTCATTGATATCTTACCAATCCCCCTCGGTAACCTGGCGACCTCCCATATTATCATCCAGCGCTGTATCTCCGCCTTAGATTTGGTCTTCAACAGCAAATCGAGGGAACTGCAGTGCACCCACCATTCGGCACATCATGCCCGATTCCGCGGAGTCAGAATGGTCTAAATCCTTTGCATCCGGCCCAACCATGTCGTTACTTCCGTGCAAATCCCAGGTTCTTCCGGGCGATGCGTCCGCATCTACTTTGCGCGAGGACGATGCGCAGGCCGACTCGTCCGGTCGCAGATATATCGGAGCGCCTCAGAACGTGGCAATCGACCGGCTGGTGAAATTGAAGCAGGATCTTCGAACCCTCGGATCGGAAAAGTTTTGGAATCATCTCATGGAGAATATCAGTTCGATATGTGACGCTCAGTACGTGTTTGTTGCTCGCAAGGCCCGGGAGGACGAGTCGGTCAACGAAATACGAGGCCACAAGCCATATTTATTCGGCTCGGCATTCTATTACAATGATGGATACGAAACTGCAGGCATGCATCGCCACAGATACTTTGCTGGCGGGAATCCCCTGTCCCATATGGATCACGAAAAGCCCTGTTTGATCCCGGAGAATTTGGGCTCCTACATATCGTTCGATCAAGATCAGCTGCCGTTCGCTGCAGAAGGCTATCTAGCCGTCCCCCTGTTCTCGGAAACCAAATGTCTCGCATACCTTGGTCTGATGTGGTCGGAGTCCGGATTGAAGAAGCGCAACCTTTCGTGGTCGTTTCTCGAAATGATACTGTATTCTTTGGAAGATCTAGTCGTCCAGCACATCCGTGACGATCTTGAAGCGGCAAACACACAGCAGGCGAGCAACAGCAAGGCTAGAAGTATGTCTGCCAGCCACGCGATTGTCGAGGATGCCCACATCAGCATCCCTCATGGATTAGCCGACTTTGCCTCTCATCCATTGAAGCCTTATGCCCGGAGTTTGTCTCACGAACTTCGCACGCCGATGCAGGGTGTGGTCGGGATGCTAGATGTCATGCATGCCACAGTTCGCGAAGCTATCCAGGACAAGCCATCCCCGAAAGCGGGGTTCGTTTTCCGAACACTCAAGGAGAGTATCGAAATGGTTCAAGGTTCGTGTTTCGTCCATCCTCAGATCCCCTTTTCCGAATGCTGACTCGCATTTTTCCATCTTTACAGATAGCGCAAGACGAGCGGTCGAAGCAGCAGACAACGTGGTCCACGCCTACGACCTGAACATGCAAGTCCCCAAGACTCCTCAACTCGAAAGAGAAGATATCTTTGGTGGGCCCGTCCAAACACCATTGAGCACATGCGACAGCCGGCCAAGTGTCTTCGTCGAAGGAAGTAACATCACGGTTAATCCGTACAAACGACGACGGAGTAATCCGCCAGAATGGAACATCGGCACAACGCCCAAACAGAAGGTCCCGCGTGTTGTCTCGCCAAAGGGACTTTCTCCCCGTAGCGAGGAAGTCAAAAACGCCGTGCACGAAAGCGAAAAATTGATGAAAGCCGCCCCTGCTCATCAGATAGAAGCAGTCATGGCCAACATGGTGAATCCTCGACCATCGCTGGCAGTTCGCCGCTCGGCACCGCATCTCTTGTTGGAGGGCATTAACGTCAATGTCGTCCCCGCGCTGAGGTTCACCAAGCTTCGCGATCTGCTCCGTCTAGTGATCAATGAATCCTTGCATGTTGGTGGTCGGCCTGACTTTGCTGTGAGCAATGCGACCGACACGGGGGAGAAGATTGAGATCCGGTCACGCTCATCGAACGGTGAAGTGTTTTCCAAAACCATCAATTGGTCGGTCGATCCCGCGCTACCGGATACACTATTTGTGGATGATCGCGACCTGGCTAAGTTGATTTCGTGCGTCTTCCTCAATGCGGTCAAGTTCACCAATAGCGGTGTGATAACCGTGTGTGCCACCGTTGGCCGCAAGACCAACGATGTCCTGATCGCTGTGAGGGACACTGGACCTGGCATTCCAGAAGCATTCTTGCCTAAACTCTTCAAGCCGTTTGCTCGGGAAGACACATCTACCACTCGGAGTAAGGATGGGCTAGGACTGGGTCTCCTTGTAGCCAAGGGTCTGGCCAGGAAGATGGGCGGCGACCTCACCTGCGTTCGCTCCTGCACCACCGGTCCCGACCATGGCTCCGAGTTTGAAATCAGAATTCCGGCCAACCAGCCCGATCCGACATTGGCTCCTCCGAACAAGCTGTTGACACCGCCGCAGCTCTGCGATCCTTCGCGCATGACCAGTGCGAGCACCTCGACGGTAGAATCGTCGTTGCTGTCGCCCGCGCTGCGAACACCAAGTCAGCCGATCCAGCAACCGTCACCTAGCTTGACTGAGGAATCGTCTGTGACGTTGACCCCTGCGCGCTCGGTTCCCCATTGCAAGTCAATGCCCCGCCACATTAATGGTGACACCCATGACAGTAAGCTCGGAGAAAAGCATCCGCTCACTTTCCTCGTTGCCGAGGACAACAAGATCAATAGGCGTGTGTTGGTTCATATGCTGAAGCGCCTTGGCTATAGCGACATCTACGAAGCTTGTAATGGAAAGGAAGCGGTCCGCATCATGCAAGAGGTTCTGGTCGCCCAAAGCTCAGCGGATGGCCCCTCTCCCAAGCTTGAGAGCACGGCAGACGGGTTCCCGATCCCCAACCCTCCAAATCATCGCAAGAAGATGAAACCGGTGGATGTTGTGTTGATGGACCTGTGGATGCCAGAAATGGACGGATACGAAGCCACGTCCAAAATCCTCCAGCTAATAGATGAATACCACGGTCAAATCCCCCCTAATTGTCGGCCAGAGCAGCAGCATCCGCCTCCCATAGCGACGCCTGCAGCCCCTCAGCCCGTGGCGCCGACGGTTCTTGCCGTCAGCGCTGATGTCACCGACGAGGCACTCAGTCGCGCCTCGAAAGTGGGCATGAAGGGCTATATGACCAAGCCGTACAAGCTCTCGGATCTCGAGCGATTGATCCTAGGGTTTTGCAGTGATGCCACGACCCCTGCCGCCAGACAACCCGACGACTCGACGATGAATACATGACATAGATACATACTCCGGTCTTTTCAGTTATTGATTCCCACCCCCCGCTTTATACCTCATTTTGTCTTTCTTTTCTGTTGTTGTCTGCCATTGAATCTTGATTGGATCTGGTACCACAGCATGGGCGCTGTTTCTACTGCAGGGAGCAGCTGCATTAATGTTAGAAGAATAATTTTTTAGTGCTGATGTATTTACGAGCGATCTTCTGCATCCTTTATGATCAAATGATGACTGGGGGCAAAGATGGAAACGCAGACGTTTCGTCCAACTTGAAAGAATGCAATGATTTTGGATAGTCCAACACTTGAATAAATGCTAGATAGATAAATCTCGCAGTTATCTCCTAAATAACCTTTCCCTCCAACGAGCACTAACTTAGTAGACCCGAGCTAACTAGCGAAAGAGAAGACGAATCATTCTTTGGGTTGACATAGCCGAGAATACTACTTAGTATGCACACTAAACATCCATTTATAGTAGCCATAAAGCCCTACAAAACCACACGACAATCAAGTCCTTGCTGCCGGCATCTTTGCTTGTGTGTTGGCATAACTGTCAGTACAGGAACCGCGAATCATTTGATGTGTTCTCGAGAGCAGTGTTGCGATGGCTCTAGTAGTTTCGTTGTAAGACTGGCCTCAAGGAACCAGCATATTGTTGGGTTGGGATGCTACACTGACTTGCTAGTATGCCTCGGAGAGCATAGGCTGGAGCTACTGCCCAAGCAGATGCAACAAGAGAGCCTTGGATTACTATCTTCTGGTGGTTCGGACCAGAACTAGTCTAATGGGAGTTGCTACTGTGAAAGGAATGGATTATTGGATAGCGGCATGAAAGAGAAGAGTTGGTTGATCAGCTCAGACTGCTGTGGGAGATTGAGCGTAGTAGCCACAAACCAAAGGTTTAGTGCGGTCTGTCATCATCTCACATGCTTTGGGAGCAGTCATGAAGACAGTAAGAAACGTAATGGTAAAAGCTGATATCCAGGTATATTGCTTGTTAGCTTCACACCAGAGGATTAGGTGTGATACTTTTCAGATGCAAACCGCCAATTTGGAAATATGATTTCCCACAATGAGCGAGATGAGCCAAAGATGTTGCTTGCACGTGGCTTGTGATGATTGGGAAAGTTATCAGGCATACATTAAGTAGGTACTAGAAGTATGGCAGTGATGGCTTTGCTGGTTGGGGAATTCAATTCTGATAGAACGAGTAAACCTGGAGTGCCTGATTAATACCATCAAGGAAATAGAGAATGTCTACCATCATATGTGCCATGTTAATCCAGTAAATATTGATATTCCATCTAATTGATGTGGTTGTATCAAGACATCTGTAATTCGACTGCTGTTGCATCTTTCGTGGTTATTGTGGTGCGTTGAAACTCATTAAACGCCATTGTACCCTTATAGCGGAACAGGAACAGGCAGATGAGTCCCCCATGGTACTAGTACCTTACCAGTTTTTTTAATAGTATGCATGCAGAAGATAAGTCCGCAGAATGATAGAGACAGGGAAGTGGAGCAGATATCACAAGGTTTTCTCGAAGCAATAGCAGCATAATTAAAAGTGCCCCAGTATATACCACACACAAGTACACTGAAACCTCATCAGAACCACATACATGCATTTTTACATTCACTCATCAAACTCACACAAGAGAGAAATAATAATCGCTAAACAACCGATCATAGCTAGCTAGGTAGTAGTTTATTGTAAGTACAACCAGGTACCTCTCACTCATTCCTTTTGGCTTATTTTCTCCAACTTGTATTCCCTCCCATCTCGAACAAAGAAAAAGAAAAGCTAAATCCCCCGTTTATGTCAACTTCTGCTTGATGAAGAACGACCGCAGATGCGAAAGCTGCCAAGCACATGCCACCGACAGCACAGCCAGCTGGATAAGAGTCCACCTAACCACGCGGGAGTTGGTGGCCTCGGACTGGTCACGGAACTCAGCTTCACGTTCCTGTTTGAACACATTGTTAGTTAGGTCATTGAACACACTGCCTATGGCATCCCCGTGGAGAACATACCCGCTGGAACACCTGCTCCCTGCGAATATCCTGCAACCGGCCGTTCAGATCCTTAACCTTCTGCACAATATCCTGCATCTTGTCCTTGTCTTCCGTCTCGATCTTGCTGGTCTCACCGATGGCCATGTCCAGAGTGACCTGGACGGCACCGGACGGGGCGCCCGACAGCCAGCCGCCGCCAGTTGCGGCGTTGGTCTCGGGGGTCACGCAGATCTTGTGCAGGCCGGCGTCGGCAGCGGAGAAAGTGAAGCGTCCGGAGTGGCTGTCACGCTTGGAGACGACGCGGTGGTCATTGTCGAAGATCTCGTCGACGGTGACGAGCATCTTAAGGTTAGGGTCCACATTGTAGGTGTTGGATTGCTGGTTGATCACGGCGGTGGAGTAGGTGCCTTTTGTTTTGCCATATCGCATTAGTATTGAGTAGTGAATAAAGTGGAGGAGCAGGTGGTGAGTAGCATACCGACAACCAGGGTATCCTTAGGGAGCTCCTCAAAGAAGCACTTTGTTTGGCGGCCGTCCATGTAGAAGTAGAGGGCGTTGGCGGGCACCGAGAGGCACAGGATGGCACACACGGCCATCAAGGAGGACAGCCATGAGGCGGAGGATCTTACCGGAGCCATGATGCAGTTGAATGGGAGAAATTGGCGGAGGGGGAAAGAGACAACAGAGGGAGGGAGATGATGAGAACAGTTGGCGATGAAGCGATTGCCTCGATCTGGCCGGATCCCGTCTTGGCGCGAATTCTCATGGCTTTTGCTTCTCCGCCTTCATCTTCCCTTCCATCTCCTCCCCTCTTCCTCTCTCGCTCTTCGATCACTATCATTGCTACATTGCTATCTTCTTGTTGATTTCATCGAAAAAAAAACAAATAAATCGCACCTCGTCACCCTTGAAAATCGCTCAGCCCTTAAACCCCCACAGGTGCCTCCGCCATGGCCGCCGCCGATGTTCGCGACATGCTGGATCTGCCCGCGGAGGGCCAGCCCCGACCTCATAAGAAACAGAAGGTCGTCGAGAAGCGTCCAGGTGAGCTTCCCTCACTTCACTTACTCACCTAAAACTACTCTGACGCATTCCCACCGCTAGAGGGTATTACCCGTGAGCTCTATGCTCTGCTAGGTGAACGAGCACCTCCGATCGCCATCAACGAGAACCGCTACAAGGGACGCCCAAAATGGACGAGCAAAAAGCGCGTCCAGCCATGGTACGCACACACCACCATATACCTACTGCTCTCTGATACCGAATACTGATTCCATCAGGTGCATGACCCCCTTCATCAACAGCGCCCGCTCCGACGGCCTCGTCCTCCGCCACTGGCAGCGCCAGCATGAATCCGCCAAGGTCCCCGCGCTGGAGGGCTCCGAGATGGACGTGGACGAGAAGAAAGAAGACAACGCCGTTGCCTCAACCTCCGACGATGTGCCACAGCAAGACTCCATATTCGCCAAATACAACATCAAAGCCCGCGTACCCAACCGCTACACAGACGAGGAATACAACCGCCATCTCAAGAACGACGACTGGACTCGCCAGGAAACCGACTACCTCATGGACCTTGTCGAAGAATACGACCTCCGCTGGGTCGTTATCGCCGACCGCTACGACTACCAACCGCACTCCGTCGACGGCGACTCCAACAACACCAGCGCCCTCGTCCCCGCAAAGCAATACCGAACCATGGAGCAGATGAAATCGCGCTACTACTTCATAGCCGCGAGCATGCTCGCGCTCGAGCACCCACCCTCCGAGATGTCCGAAGCCGAATTCGAACTACACGAGAAGATGCTCAAATTCGACGCCGACCGTGAACGCTCCCGCAAAGAACTCGCCGCCCTCCAACTCAACCGCACAGCCGACGAAGTCCGCGAAGAAAGCGTCCTCCTCGAAGAACTCAAACGCATCACCGCCAATGAACAAGACTTCATCACCGAGCGTCGCGAACTCTACTCCCGCCTCGAAGTCCCCATCAGCGTCGGCAACACAACCATGTACCAATCCAGCCAAGGCCTCTCTCAACTCCTCCAAACCCTCCTCCAAGCCGACAAGAGCAAGAAACGCCGCTCTATCCTGGGCCCCGAAGGCGGCGCCGCTCCCAGCCCCGCCGGCGCAACCCCTGCCCCCAATGCCCCCAGCAGCGCCCGCGACAGCCGCGCCGACACCCCGAACGCAACCCCGGCTGCCGCCCCAGCCAACAAAAAGGCCGCCGCGGCAGCTGCAGCCGCAGCCGCAGCAGCGAACAAGGAAGCGCAGCAGCAAGCCGTTCGGACTCTCACACCCGCCGAAGAAGCCAAATACGGCGTACAACACCACGACCGACTGGCACCAGGGGTGCAATTCCGCAGTGACCGCGCGCAGAAGCTTACGCAAGCGAAATCGAACGTGCAGACACAGAAACTCGCTGCCGCGCTGGCGGAACTGGAGGTGCCACTGCGGCTTGTCATGCCGACGGAGCGCGTCTGTAGGGATTTTGAGAAGTTGATCCACTCGGTGAATCTGCTGCTGGAGGCGCGGAAAGTGTCGGAGAAGGTGGAGAGTGAGATTCGGGTTTTGGAGGCTGCGAAGGAGGAACGTGAGAAGAAGGCGAAGGAGGCGCTAGAGAAGGATGGTAAGCCTGAGGTCAAGTCGGAGCAGCAGGAGGATCAGCCGCTTCCTGCGGCGACGGAGGAGAGTGCTGGGGATGCGGAGGGGCAGGAGAAGGGTGCGACGGATGAATCGGGGGAGAAGGCAGGAGGTGCTGGTACTGGTGAAGAGGGAGATGGGCCATCGCATAAACGCTCTGCTAGTGTGCTGAGCAATGCTAGTGATAAGAGTACGAAGCGGCAACGGAAGTAAAAGAGGATTGATGTTATGGGCGTTGGAGAATGGGCGGCGTTCTTGGTGTTTCGATATACCTATGTACGACTATATGAAGCTTGGGCTTGACAATCACTGATTTTAAAGCTATTATTCTATCGATGTAATACATTCAATATTAATCGTTCCCCGGGCCTTTTGTTGGTAGGGTGGAATTTTATCATCGAGACGATAACCAATTACTGATATGATTTGAGTAACAGCTGGGTTTCCAGAAGTGAAGAGGCGGCTTGATCATGCATTACATTGATAGTTGTTGCAACAACTTCAATGCCAGTGCGCTTATAAGTAGTAGAACTAGTAGTAGTTGTGCTCCGACAGCCTCAAATATATATAGTGGCCAAAGCACTGGCACCTACCCAAGCATTTCTTGGTAGTCCTGGTAGGTACTTTTCCAGTCATCTGTGATCGAATCTGATCCGGTCTTGTCAGAAGAATTATGCCGATTCTTTATTGTATCATGGGTGCCTGTCTGAACGGTCTGCTGGGCGTGTTCTTGTCCCTCGTGCTGGAAATCATCTGAGCCGGCTGTTTCATGCAAGGTCTCTGCGGAGACAATAGGGACATCGTCATCGGCACTCTTAGCCCTATTTTTACGGTCGAGGACCTTGAACTTGAGAATGCGACCCTCCTTTCTCCGCGCCACGGGGTATCTCCCAGCTGGCGTGGTCATTGTCGCAGTCGAGTTGGCTTCAAAGCCGCGCGTAATCGCTGACACGCTGCGACCCTTCAACAAACTCCCTGTACGTCGCAACGTCGCCCATCTACCCAAAGGTCGCCCCTCAGTACTTTTGGTAGAGACTGACGAGCTTTTTTGTTCACTCTGTTGTTCGCTCGCAGGCTGGTTTGGATCAACCCAAGAGCAGAAGTCCCAGGGATTTTTTGTTTCAACTGCAGCGGGATCGAGCTGCTCCTTCTTACGCTTGGAGAATTTCTCCAGCACTGAGGACTTGAGCTGTTCACCCAAGCCTTCACTAAATGCACTAGAGAAGCTGCGAAGACGTATGCGACTCACAACGCTCGATAGCTCGAAGCTGGAATTCCCGGCCTTAGGAGACATCTTCTTGTTTTGTCCTATAGTCTCCTTCCCAAAGGGCCTTGATCCACTTCGAAGATCCACGCCTACTGCTGTCACTCCTGGAACACTGGTCCCAATGTAACTGGGCTTCTCTGGAGTTTCATCGGCTCCGTCAATTGCAGGTACCAGAGCGTATCCGTATCCAAGTCGCCGGCCTCCTGACATCCATCCAACGCTCACCTTGCGAGGCGATGCATGGTCCGTATCCGCGTCGTTATGGCCATGTGCAGGAGAGCTGAGTGAACGGGCTGACTCGTATCTCTCGGAAAACATGTCTTTCTGTGCTTCAACTTTATCTGCATTCTGATCTGCAATGGGAGCATAACGAGCATTCACCAGTGACGACTCCAATGATCGAGGGGAACAACTGAAAGAAGCGATGGGTTCATGAGGTTGTCTAGTATTGGCCTGATTCTGTATCCGTCTATCTATATAGCCGACTCGATCATCTGTAGATGACAGGCTGGTCTTCTGAGAATAGCACGAGGACGCCTGGTTCACTGGTCCCCTAGGTCTTGGTCCTGTTGCGTAGGTATCCGGTGCCTTTCCTGCTCCAAACCCAGAAAAGTCGTGAAATGGCTGGGACGCGTTCCACGTCCCGGCAGTGCTGGTCCACCGATTCTCATCGAACGACTGTTTCGGTGATAGCATACGAGGAGACGTTGAGCGAGACGCCAAGGTCGTCGGGATATTCGCGTCACCAAGATGAACAGAGCAATTGTCTGGTACAGGGCCTGCGGGGGGCTGCCGGCGTCGTTTCCTGACAGAGATCTGTGAAGATGGCCCAACCAAAGAGTCGGCAGACGTGGCATACGATAATGGCACAGGAGACACCGGAGTCGAATAACCCGAGCCATGTATACCAGGATCAGGTGAAGCCATTCGAAGGGGAGGCCGGTATCCGTGTTGTTTTGGATACACAGGGCCATTTCTCATCTTGCCTTGAACTGGACTGCCTGCCATACCTCTTTGAGGCCTTGCAATCCTGACTCGATGGCCCCCATCATCTGTGCCGTGGAAGGCAGAGGAGCCTTGAGACAATTGGGTCATGCAAGACACCTGACTCTTCGAACGCAGAGCAGGTTGTGACTCTTCCCTCATAGTAGGGTCCGCACATGGTGCACTCTCTAGGTCTTCGAACTCTGGACTATGAGCCTGCACATATGGCATCCCCTGTCCCATCTCGCGCCGCAAAGGGGAGATAGCAACATCTTCAAGGATACGTGGATTACAAGGATGGTCTCTGGTGTGGCTGATATGCTTGGGGGTGCTTATGAACTGCGCGTCGCTGTCATATCCCCTTTCGCTCATGAAGCTGCTCCCAACCTCGTCCGGAGTAGCTCCTCTTTCACCAGGACTGGCAAATCTGGAAGAGAATGGAAATGCTGGGGAGCCAGACTTCCTGCGATTATTTTTTGGCTTCACACGCTGGTCTCTGGCTTCTCGAGAGAAACGTCTACGGAGTCTATCGGGCAGGCCACCGGAGGAGCGTCTGGGATGACCGGGGCGTGCGACATCTTGCCTATCCTTGGAATACCCTAGCAGGGTCAGCAGTGCCCTTGTCACTCGAGCGGACTCGCGTGGCTCACCATCCGTATCGCCATCTGGTGTTGGTTTAGCGGGATTCAACTTGTAGGAGTGTCTTGTGTCCGAGTCTGAGCCTTTCCAGTATTTTCTGAACCGGGGACAGACGAGGAAGAACGCCATCGGGACAAGTTTATTATCTCAAGGTGAATGATAATGCCCTTGTCAACAAGTTCACGGTTTTGTGTTCTTTATCCATGGTGGGCAGTCCGTTCAGACGGAGCATTCTGCGCAACTGCCTCCTTCAAGCTTATGCAACATACAGGAACGGAAGCTGCGACTACATTGAAAGGAGCAGCTGCGTTATAAATAAAGCTCTACTGTTCTCAACCAGAACATCGGATTTTGGACGAGCATTGTGGTCGCCATCCGATCTACGGGGGGCATTCGAACTGTATCTATAGCATGCTCTGCGGTAACTGTTCGTCGACCAGCTGAGCTTCCCCAGACCTGCATGCATGCAAGATACTCCGCATCCCGAAAGGAACTCCGAGCACCATGTGCAAAAGCCGAGTACTTCAGAACCAGAACTAGAGACACGCTTCAAAGCATTGTGACTCTACAAAAACTCCGGGTTATTTATCGAATGAGTCACTAGTAGATTACTGTCGTAGTACTCGGTGAATTGAGACAGATCCCGAGTATCGGGGGAGGAAGAGTGATTCTGGCTCTTTCCATAACGAAGATGAATCAATTTAACGACAATCATCAGCTAGTCAATTTCTACTGCGGACTGCGTATCTCGACCCATGGACTGTGGCAAGCTTTAGCGCCGAATGGCAGATCTCACCTCAGATTTGGGTAATTGCCCACTCTGATAGGCCCAGTGGCCACCTCGTGCAGCACGCTGGGAGTCAGCCGATGCGGCCAATGGGTCTCAGCGCAGATCCATTTTGCAGGTCCGAATCGGCTCCATCGCGGACAGAAGCCAGTCTCGACTGTATGGGCAACAGAAGAAGAGTTGGAACTGCGTAGGTAATGGGCGTGGCTAACCAGCTCGTATCAGCCTGGCAACCCACCAGCCAGAACCTTAATGGGGGCCGATCCCGGAAGGCAGGCAGAGGTGGTCCGAGGGATACTCCGGACTTTTCCACGGCGCTGACTGGCCCGTTTATCCAATATTTAATCACGCCATTTAGCACTATGTTCGGGATGGGTTTAGTTCTGGCCCCTCCCAACGGACGGGTTACTAAATTTTTCAAGGATGACACATACCTCAAAAACCGGAGGACATTGGACTTGTTTGGGTCCGGAGGGTCAGGAACTTAGTGGTAATTGGGAAAGGGGCTCAAGTGTAGATAGCTGGGGGATGAGGGAGGGGAGGCATTGGAGAGGAGAGCGACAACGAAGAGAATGAGTGCAGATACTCACAGAATGGCGAAAACTTTCCCTTCCATTCCTTACTGTATACATACATTTGAGAGGCGGGACTATCTTACCTTACCGAACAGGCACATGTAAGTATGCCTGATCTGAAGTCTGGAACACGGTCAGGTTTCCAGGTACTGGTGCGGTATCCATGGTATTTTTGGTATCAACCCAAACCCCTCGCCCCACTCCCTCCCCTCCTCCGTCTGCTTATAACAACTCCCCTCCATCCTCTTCTTCCCTCTCTTTCTTCTCTTCTTTCTCTCTCCATCCCTCCCCCCTGTTTCTCTCTTCATCCTTCTTCTCAGCAAGAGACTATTGTATAGTCCTTGACTGTCTTCTCTGTCTTCTTTTTCATCTGATTCTTCATCTATTCTCCCTCCATTAAACTCTACCTTTCTCTCCCTCACTTCTACACACATATCTTTCAAGATGGTTCAATCGTAAGTTTTTACCGTCTGTTTGCATCAGAAAATGACAATGCTAATGCCATCTGCTTTAGCTCCGTCTTGGGTTTCCCTCGTATGGGAAAGCTCCGTGACCTCAAGAAGGCCACTGAGGCTTACTGGGGTGACAAGATCTCTCGTGATGAGCTCTTGGCTGAGGGAAAGAGACTCCGCCTGGAGCACTGGAAGCTCCAGAAGGATGCTGGTGTTGATGTGATCCCCAGCAACGACTTTGCTTTCTACGACCAGGTCCTCGACCACATCCAGCTCTTCGGTGTATGTATCCTCGCTCTGATGCTTTTTAATTACCTCATTCGCTGACGTTCTCCTCCAATAGGTCATCCCCGAGCGCTACAGCAAGTACAACCTCCACCCCCTTGACGAGTACTTCGCCATGGGTCGTGGTCTTCAGAAGCCCGCCAAGGATGGTCAGGCCGCCATTGATGTTCCCAGTCTGGAGATGGTCAAGTGGTTTGACTCCAACTACCACTACGTCAAGCCTACCCTCCAGGACAACCAGACCTTCAAGCTGGCTGAGCAGCCCAAGCCTGTCGTTCAGTTCCTTGAGGCTAAGGAGGCTGGCGTTGTCACTCGCCCCGTCATCCTGGGTCCTGTCTCTTTCCTGACCCTCGCCAAGGCCGACCGTGGTCAGTCCGTGGACCCCATCACCAAGATTGAGGAGCTCCTCCCCGTCTACGTTGAGCTGCTCCAGAAGCTCAAGGAGGCTGGTGCTGAGGAGGTTCAGATCGATGAGCCCGTCCTCGTCTTCGACCTCCCCGCCAAGTCCAAGGCTGCTTTCAAGCCCGTCTACGAGAAGCTTGGTGCCCTTGGTGCCCAGGCTCCCCGTCTGGTCCTTGCCACCTACTTCGGTGACATTGTCCACAACCTTGATGTCTTCCCTGCCCTCCAGAGCCTCCACGGTATCCACATTGACCTCGTCCGCAACCCTGAGCAGCTCGACGCTGTTGTTGCTGCCCTTGGCCCTAAGCAGATTCTGTCTGCTGGTGTTGTTGACGGTCGTAACATCTGGAAGACCAACTTCAAGGCTGCCATCGAGAAGGTCGAGCTGGCCATCCAGAAGCTCGGCAAGGAGCGCGTTGTTGTTGCCACCTCCAGCTCCCTCCTCCACGTTCCCCACACTCTCGAGAGCGAGAAGACCCTGGACCCTGAGGTCCGCGACTGGTTCAGCTTTGCTGTGCAGAAGCTTGACGAAGTTGTTGTGATCGCCAAGGCCGTCACTGAGGGCCCCGCTGCTGTCCGTGAGCAGCTCGAGGTTAACGCCAAGTCTGTCCAGGCTCGTGCTTCCTCCAAGCGCACCAACGACCCCAAGGTCAAGGAGCGCCAGGCTGCCGTCACTGAGGAGCAGCACAACCGTCAGTCTCCTTTCTCCGCCCGTATTGCCGAGCAGAGCAAGTCCATCAACCTCCCTCTCTTCCCTACCACCACCATTGGATCCTTCCCCCAGACCAAGGAGATCCGTATCCAGCGCAACAAGTTCACCAAGGGTGAGATCACTGCTCAGGAGTACGAGAAGTTCATCGAGAAGGAGATCGAGGAGGTCGTCAAGATCCAGGAGGAGCTCGACCTGGACGTTCTCGTCCACGGTGAGCCCGAGCGTAACGACATGGTCCAGTACTTCGGTGAGCGTCTCACTGGTTACGTGTTCACCACCCACGCCTGGGTTCAGTCTTACGGCTCCCGTTGCGTGCGTCCCCCGATCATTGTCGGTGACATCTCTCGTCCCGCTCCCATGACCGTCAAGGAGTCCAAGTACGCTGTCTCGATCTCCAAGAAGCCCATGAAGGGTATGCTTACCGGCCCCATCACTTGCTTGCGCTGGTCTTTCCCTCGTGACGATGTCCACCAGTCCGTCCAGGCTCAGCAGCTCGCTCTCGCTCTGCGTGACGAGGTTGTTGACCTCGAGACTGCCGGCGTCAAGGTCATCCAGGTCGACGAGCCCGCTCTTCGTGAGGGTCTCCCCCTCCGTGCTGGCAAGGAGCGTGAGGAGTACCTCAAGTGGGCCGTCCGTGCCTTCCGCCTGGCCACCTCTGGTGTCACCGACGGTACTCAGATCCACTCTCACTTCTGTTACTCTGAGTTCCAGGACTTCTTCCACGCCATCGCTGCGCTGGATGCCGATGTTCTGAGCATTGAGAACAGCAAGTCGGATGCCAAGCTGCTCAAGGTCTTCATCGACGAGGCCTACCCCCGTCACATTGGACCTGGTGTCTACGACATCCACTCTCCCCGTGTTCCCAGCGAGCAGGAGATCAAGGACCGCGTCGAGGAGATGCTTCAGTACCTCCGCCCTGAGCAGCTTTGGATCAACCCCGACTGTGGTCTGAAGACCCGTCAGTGGCCCGAGACCAAGGCTGCCCTGACCAACATGGTCAACGCTGCCAAGTTCTTCCGTCAGAAGCACGGAAACTAAATTCTTCTTTAATCATTACATTTTTTAATAACCCATGATTGGGGGCGACATTCTCAACCTGTCGTCTCGGGGAAGCGGACTCTAGCAGCTCCCTTCCCAAAGTCTTTTTTGATGAGTTTACGATGATGATACCAAAAGTTCAACATATGGGTTAGGGTTTCATTAGATGGGGTCACCGGAGTTTTCAACATATGATAACGATTTCAACATCGGCGTTCGCATAAAACATCGACGCCAAGTTTTCTCTTGCATTTTGCGAGTTTTGGGGGCGGAATGCGGGAACGTCGGTGACGTCTGCAACGCCGAGATCAATAATATTTCAACAATGATTGTGTATATCACAAAAAAGGGTCGCTACTTTACTGCCCTTAATGAATATGACAAATGCTCGAATGGTCACATTTGAGCTTGACATTTCTTTATCCATGATTGTTCTAACCGTAGTATCTGATGTAGTTGAATGTAGCTCCAGCATGAACTTGTTCATGATCTCTTTAAAAGGCGATTTCCTGTAGATATTCCCATTCAGGTGATATGATGCTTTTCACTACCACAACCTATCATACATACACCTATCACTAAATATACACGATCCATTACTTCCACCAGTACCGTTACCCGGATACAACCCTACCCAAACCAACCTACCCAATCCCCATCCCTCTCCCCTAAAAATACAGAAGAATAATTAATAATCACAACCAACTGAAAAAAGGCACCACCGCCCCCCGTCCCTTAACCCTCCCCTCCCCAAACTTCTCAACATACCACTTCCTCCCCCACCTCGCATGCGGCAACATATTCGACACCGCATTGAAGAAAAACACCACCGCAGGCAACGGCATCGGCACCCCCATCCAGTCAACTATCCTTGCAACGGGGACGAGCCACGGCGCCAGCTGGAACGAACCATCACCAGCACCAGCACCAGCACCAACTTTAACCGAAGGCGTGGTGACAATCCCAGCAGCTAAGATCGCAAACCCAAGCCACTCAATCCACTCCGCTACGTAATGCGGATAGAGAATGGATGTGAAGAGGCCGGTCGGGGGCGGGATGGTGTATATTTTGGAGTAGATGTTCCCTCCTTTTTCCTTGCCTCCGGCTTTGGTAGCATTTTTGGTAGTAGATGATGATGTAGAAGGAGATGGCTTCTTCCGATGCGCCTCCTCCCTCCTCAACCTGAACAACGTCCGCTCCGCAGAGATATTCCCTGCCATTCCTCCCAGGAAGAGGGTGAGGCCTAGTGGAGCGAGGAGTGCTCTTCCTATACTTCCACTAGTAGTACTTCCACCACCACCACCAGAAGCATAAGAAGAGGTAGAGGTAGAATAAGGAACAGGATACCCAGCCAACCACCCGCCCAAACAAACGGCATTGAACCAATTAAACGCCACAGCGGAGGAGGCAATAACCACATGAATAGGGGAGATGCTGGGCGCCGCGAAGAACGGGGAGATGATGGCGCGGTTGGTGTAGTGGAGGGTGAAGAGGAAAGCGAGGAATTTGTTACTCGTGGGGAGTGTAGACAGTGATGGGGAGAGGGTTAGGTCTGGGTAGAGTTGGGGTAGAGTGTAGAGTAGGTAGAGGAGGGTTATGGGGGAAACTATCTCCATGATGCACCAGGCCCAGCGGCCGGGGAGGTTTAGGGGGGAGGATTTCAGAGAGGTTTTGCCCGCTGGGTGGTAGGAGGTTAGCCATTGGAGGAGGGATACCTGGATATTTTTTAGTTAGTATTTGGGTGTGGGTGATGGGGCTTTGGGGGATGGTGGTGTATAGGTGTAGGTGTGGGAGTGGACGTACGAGTGGGAAGTATTGGAAGATGTTGAGGAAATGAGTGTAGATTTCTGGGGTTGGGTGGATGAGGTGTTCCCAGGAGGGGAGGTGGTTGAGGATGGAGAGGGCGGAGCCCATTGCTGCTGCTGCTTTTGTGGGTTATGGCAAGTGAAGTAATGGGAAGAGGATAGAATTGGAGGAATTGGGCAATGTTACATCAATGGACGAGGTGAGGATGAAGATCAGAATGAAGTCAAGATGGTGGATGAGTCAGCATCTACAAGGATGCAGGTCCAAGCAAGAAGTTAAAAACTATTCATAACTTAAGGCTACTGCTCATAAAGGTACTACGAGATAATGATATCGTCATTGCATCCTGGCATTACCTCCCTATGCAAGTCTAACCCAAACTCGCCGAAAGAAGACCATCCCAACTATAACATGCGGGTCCAAAATCAGACAGAACCACTCTCGTCGCTCACTTTTGCATTCCATCAGTTCGTCGTATCCATCGGCTCCAACACGCGCCTCCGCTCAGCCAGTCTCTCGGACTTGAATGACTCAATCTTGGCCTTGAGTTCGGTATCTATGCAACAGTTAGTAGGTCCTCTTATCAAACAGTTCATGATGAGACCTACCGGGTATTACGTCTTCCATCTTTAGCGGTGCCCGGTTGAACGGATCATGAGGATCGCTGAGCAGATGCGACCGGATCGTTGCTCGGTCAATAGACACCCGGGATCCTGGTAGAATGACCGGGTCTTCCATCAATGTGTACATCAGGGGATCTGGTTCATGTTAGTAACTTCTTCCTCCAGTGCTGAATGATATCACATACCTAAGAAATCATCCGGCACCTCGCCCAGATCCTCCTCAGCCTGGTCATCGGCCTCCTTGGCCGCCTTCACCTTCTTTTGTAATTGCTCCCACCGCTTAAACTCCTCTGGCGACTTGAGCGACCATTTCCGTAGGATGTCTGCTGCCTTCTCAAAGTTCGCCGGCTTGTATGACCGTCCATCGCGTGCCACCGCGATGATGAAGTTCTCCTTGCCCATCAGGTTCAAATACACGTCCACAATCTCGCTCAGCAGCGCCCTCGGGTTGAAGCCGTACTCCTGCAGATTGTCCACCCGTAGACTGGCGCTCTTGGGTCCCACCATCGCATCCAGGTTGTAGTCCAGCATGTCTGCTAGTCGCTGCACGATTTCAGGCATCGTGAACGAGTCCGCCAGTGCATCTGTAAAGAGCTTGAGCATAGCCACCGTCTCGTTGGTCAGCTGCATATACGACTTGGCGTTGCGCTGTGCCGAGGCGAGGTGCTCCTCTTTCTGCTGACGCACCGTCGGGTCCATTGAGGCACCGTTGAGGCGCAGCTCCGTCTGCGTCTTGTGAATGGTGATGAATGCTCCGAAGGACTCGTCCAGCACGAACGTCACATCGTTTAGCAACAGGTTGACAAAGCGGACGAAAAAGTCCAGGTTCTGCTTGGACTGGTTGTAGAGCTTGTTGCGGTAGAGCGTATTCGGCCAGATGCACTTGATAATCTGGAAGATTTCGAATCGAATGTTGAACTTGTCAAAGAATTGCGTGTGCGTGCCCGTGTGCTCTGCCTCGATGTAGAACTTCATCATCGAGTGGAGAAGGTACTCGTTGGCAAACGGCATCGAGTTGAGCAGATCCACCAGGACTCCGCGAGCGCCACCAGGGCGTGGCCACGTGCCTCGGAACAGAATAGACACAAGTCCTGCCTTCAGGTACGGGTTCTTGATATAGCCCGAGCTCTCCAAGAAGGTGATGCACAGCATGACCAGCTCGTCTCCTTGCGTGGCAGTGATGATCTGTGGCATGCACCACATGATGAACTTGAAGTTGCTGACAATGTCGTCCAGGAAATATTCTGGAAGGCATTTGAAAACTTCCGGCTGCTGCACCGGAAGTGGGAGCTTGATCTCCTCCTTAGGAAAGTTCGTGCCCGAGACAACTCTCAGCAGCCACACAATCACATACCGCATGAACAGCATCGACCGGGCTTGCCACTGGTCGTCAAACAAGACACCCTGTAGACTATACTTCAAGGCTAGGCCGAGGTCCAGCTTATCCTTGTACTTTTTCAGAGCCTCTTCGAAGACCCGAAGCTGCATCGGGTTGTTGACCCACCGGTGCCGTTCCAGCTCAAACTTATTAATGGTGGACTCCATGTGTCGGAGGTCCTTCTCAAGCTGCTCCAGCTTGGATGTTAAGGACTCACTGCCATAGTGATGCGCAGCGACGGTGAGGAAGAAGATCTCAGTGATAAAGTTGGAAGTGCCCTCTGCCTTTTTGGAGTAAAAGGCATCCGACGCATGCTGATCGGCATTGATCTTGGTTTCATCCCTCATATCAACGCGAGGATTACGATGCAGATAATTAGCATCGACGCGGTCAATCTAGAGCATGGCCGTTAGCTGCAAGCACTCCTACTGCCGACCTGACGCAACGTGCTTACCTTGGTGAAGCTTGCATCCATGAACGGCTCGCAAAGTTGGTCCAAGCAGGTAGTCAGGTTGAACATAAACCCGTCGGATGACACCGTGTTGGGGTCCACCTGCATTGCACGTCGCTTGTGGTTGATGTTCAGGGAGGCCGCGAACCAGTCTAGAACCCTGTCCCTGGCATCTTTCGACGCCCGAATCATATGGTTCATGACATCGAGGAGATCGGAGCTGATCATGTGCTGCATCATGCGGATCGACCGCTGCGCGTTCAAAATGTAGGACTGATCTCTCGTCTTGGGACTGGAGAAGTAAGTCAAGGTCACACTGCTCTGCAGCGGCGACAAGCGAAACCATGGCCCCAAGAGAGTGCTCTTCTCAAACAGAGCCGGATCCCGGGATGCGTTGAACATATCCGACTCAGTAATGGCGGCTGCGATGACCGCATGGCGGACGAGGTTTCGAAGAGCCTATAAATCAGGTTGACGAGAGCTCCGTGAGAAAAAGAGAGTGGCCTTCACGTACTGTCATATATGGCTTGTAGTCATCATTGATGGTCATAGCAGCAAGCTCCTGGCTCATTTCCTCCACGGCCGCGATGAAAGCCGGCTTGAGGCTCTCATCCTCGTCGAACCTCTTGACAGCCTCGCCAATGAACTCAAAGTCCACGCCCTTGTCGTCCTCAGGATCCAAGAGGAGATATGGCTTTAGCGGTGACTTCTCCGCCGGCTCGAGCCTGTTTAATGACGAGTCAGCCGAATCCTGGATCCAAGAGGTATCACTTCACCGCAACAACGCACCCAAACATCTCCGGCATCGTAATGGCGAATATACAATAACTCAGGCATATGCGGCGCGCCTCGCAGATAGCACTGAATTTCGGATCATCATCGCGATTGCGGCGGAAACCCTTGTGCAACCTAGAAATCCGCCTCCAGCACGGTAGTAGATAATCCAAGGGCTTCTGACGCGGAGCATTGGAGGCCGCTTCCAGAAGGGCCTGGTCCAGGACCGTCACATCCACGCGAACCTCCCGGCCTTGATCCTCAAGCTCACTCTTCAGACCCGGCAAATACGTCAATCGTTGTCCGTGAATATCCTTCTGCCGAGCCTCATTCAACGACAACTTAAAGACAGCGCTCAATGTCCGATCCTGAAATGCCTCGATACTCTCTTCCGCTTTGGGGGGTGGTGGTGTGCCGGACACCGGCGTTACGGTCTGTGAGCGGTCCGGGACCGAACTGGCAGAGGCTGCAGGTGTGATCTTGATCCGCTTCCATTCGGACTGTTGGGGCTGGAGCTGTGGTGAGGGGGCTGATGAACCGGGCGCGCTGCCCGGTCTCGACGAGGATTGTGTCTGGATCCTGTCCGGGTATCGTGAGGTTGGTGTAGACGGGGCAGGGGAGGCAGGCCTGCTTGATGCTGAATCCGCGGCGCCTTCATTCTGCGCCGATGGCGTTGGGTTGCCCAACTTGGCCAAGCGCTTGCTGCGGATCTGATTATGAGGGCAAGTCAGAACGGCAAATGCCTGGATGGCAGGATTCGAAAGAACACGGGCCGGGACCGGGAGAGATGGCAACAACTCACCTTATCCGCTTCAGACTGGCTCTCTGACATCGTGGATGATGCTGATGGGGCGAGCCCGAAGCAGAAGGGCTTCCGTAGTATCAGCGGGGCTCGACAACGGAGCGAGTTGATGGCTGGAACCGAAAACTCAGACGGAGGAGAGATGGAGAGAACGGGGGGAAAGAGTTAATTAAGGCAATCAAGGCTGGATTAGAAGCGGGGAGAAAAAGAGTGTAGTGGGCGCCCGGAATGAATGAGCCCGATAAGTGACCCCCAGAGCGAAACAGTGAGGAGAAAAGAGGTCAGTCACTGGCGCTGACTCTGTTCCTGGACTGCTTCTCTCATGGTCGCTGAGGTTCGCCCGCATGAAGTATTAACTAAGCTGGTTGGCGTTGGTTCGCCGCTCAGGGCCCTTTCTTTTGCATCGTGTGTTCTTTTCTCCACTTTTCACGGTTATTTCTCCAACACTGGGAGATAACCGACTACATACAGTTTACTATCTACTTATCTTGCCGATCGCTGCTGCTCAACTTCCGTCTATTCCCTTCTTTAACAACATATACATTTGCTTTGCTTCTCAAGGCTACTAGACGAGGCTACTTCCAGGCTCAGGTCATCACTCCGTGAAACGCCATCAAAATCCTTGCACACGTATGGACATCTAATGCGGGAACAAAAGCGGCGGGGGGTCATCAAGAACAAAATGTAACAGGCCATTAAGGTATAAAAGAAACAATAGGAGGATGCAACATTGGCACCCCGCATGCCATAGAGATACAGACAAGTCCGCGCTCTCTTTCAGTACCTCCCCTTCAGGGAGTCTAGCCGCCGACAACTCTTGAGCTCCATCGCTCTAGCTTCCTTGATCTTGTCTACGTCTGGGAAGAACCAGCCTTGGGCATCCTGGAGCATGCGATCACGCCTGTGTTGTTCGGCTTCGCATTCGTACCGTAGTTTCGTAACGTAGTCCACTTCCACCCGTTGGTCCAGTTGCCGGAATTTCCGCGTGCTGTAGTCTTCCACATCCCCGGGGTTCACATAATAGTCCACATTCAACTTAGGTGTCGTGCGATGCATCGTGTGGGGAGGCACAGCAGCGTCAAAACGGTACGAAGGACCTGCAGGAGTTGACGACCCGGAGAATTTGGACGAGATCCACGGAAGCACGAAGAGGAGAATAAGAGGGAGAAGCTGCTGGAAGGTAGCCCACAAAGAGGGCGTAGGTTCGGTACGAGCATTGGCCTCACGCGGTCTTCTCCGGGGACGACCGCCTCCAAACTGATGAACCCGGATACCAGGACCACCGCCCATGTTGAAAACAAACTGAGGTCCACCTATACACACAGATTAGCCATGCTCCTCAAATCAATAAGAAGCAACCATACCAAAAGGACTGAAACCACCACCCATATTGCCAAACCCACCGCTAAAGAACCGCTGGAACAGCTCTTCCGGCGAGATCTCCTCCTCGAACATCGGACCCCCAGCCCCCGCAGACCGGGGGAATCCACCGCCACCAAAACCGCTGAAAGGCGAAGCGCCCGAGGGACCAGCACTCGGGGTGAACCTGCTGTCCGGATCGCCTCCAAACCTATCATACTTGGCTTTCTTCTCGGGGTCCGACAGGACCTGAAAGGCGCGCGAAACCACTGCAGACCAAAATAACCATTAGCAAGGTGATTCCCCACACAAGCATCCGAGGAATATCCCCATCACTACTCACACTTGAACGCCTCATCCGCTCCCTCATATCCGTTCTTATCGGGGTGTGTCATCAGACTCAGTTTGCGATACGCCTTCTTGATCTCGCCGTCGGAGGCGCTCTTCTCCAACGACAGAATCTCGTAGTACGCCGTCGCCGAACATTTCCGTATCCTCAGGACCGCCGCCTTCTGCTCTGGTGTGTATTTCCGATCCTGGTTCCCCTGGTTGTGCTCGCGGGATTTGGCAGAGCCTCCATTGTCTACCCCGGACGCGGTGGCGGACGGCATGGCGACAGAGCTTTTATTTCCCTATTATCGATGAAACGAGTCCCCTCTGTGTGTAGCCAGCCGGCTGTAGAATATCCCACTCTTCGGATTTAGATCCCGGTTTGCGAGGGGTTGAAAGCCTAAACAGGCTCGTCGGAAGAGGGAAGGGTGGATCAGCGATGAACCAGCCGACGGACGCAAAGAGAATCGCTGATTAGAGAGGGAAGGGCCCTGGGTTTCGCGATCGACTCGAGTGATATCAGCAACCGGGAAAAGGAGACCAAGTGTTCAAAGGATTGGTCGGTTCTGGGCTGCTGCGGGCCAACCCTCGATCTGGGGAATAATAGATAGTATGGGGTGAATTTGATAAAACGTGGTGAGTTTCTGGAGGATCAGATGTTGACGCTAAGCCGAGTGAGTGAGAGTGAGCCGTTGGTTCGAGGTTTAGTCAGTCACTCAGTCGCTTTGGAAAGGTACGTCGGAGCTGCCAGTCACCTTTCCCGCGTCACTAGCTACTTCGGATCGTCTTGCTTGACTGCCCAGCATACATACAAGGTTAGTTACAATTTCTGCAATTGTATATTCATTTTATTCTAGTTATTTCAATTGCATCAATCCATTGATCTTCAAGTCGCTCACCGATACCATCTTCATTGACAGCAGAAATCTCATAGAATACCACCCATCGCAACCATGTCCGGTTCAAAATCCCCGATAGAAGAGACCGAAAAGTCTCTCGTGCAGAAAGCCAGAGCATGGGGAGGTAAGCATATACCTCTATCTAACTCCAATCATCCCATCTCCAACAATGTCACTAATCACTCATCCATCGACGCACAGAGAACTCATTCCCACCCACCCTGCTCGCCACTCTCATCACCGCACAATACATGCGACCATTCCAGGCCCTTCCAATGCTTTTCCCTCCCGTCCTGATATTCACCAGCTACGCCAACATCCAAGGCTTCAAAACCGATACAGCCGGTATCAGCGCGGCGTGGTCCGGGCTGTACCTGTTGCTCGCGGGTCGTCGGAAGCAGCCGTTTATGAAGAAATGGGGCGCGAGAGGAATTGTCCGCGGTGCGACAATGGGTCTGTGCTTGGTTAATATGGTTAGCGGTGGGTTGGCGTATACTCTGGGCAAGCGGGAGGAGGAAGAGGATTAAACGGGGGATATATAAAAGTTATGGTTTGATTCGGTGAGACATCTTATGTGATGGTGCGGCTGTTTGTATGCGGGGTCATGTATGATATAAGTTGAACGGGGAACTGGCGTCGCTTCGGGTATGGTGTTTTGGTTTTCTTTCAATTAAATTAGGTGATGATGGTATAAGTCGAGACTCATGAATTCATTGATGAGTGTATTCTTCTACGTGAGTGATCTATGTGTATGTTATATATATCTAGTCGGCCATGGGCGAGCGGCTTCCGACCTGCTCTGCGCATCGCACAATATACGACGTATTTCCGTCAACGATAGCTCTTGAAGTACTTTCGTACTGCAATCACTCCGTGTATGGATTTTCTGCCAAGATGACATCCCGGACACTGGGAGGAACCAGCCACTCCAGGTCCTGAGGACTGGCCACAGCGGATTCTCGGGCTCTTGTCGAGCTCACGGAGGGCGCACCAGGCTTCTTGCCCTCGACAAGCTTGATGCGATCAGCCCATTCTCGTTTCCCGCCCACCCTCTCCATGGCACCCTGCGCCAAGTCGGCAACAAACGCTTCCTGCTCCTCTCTACTGCCCCAGTCACTATCCGGGCGCATGGTCACTCGCAGCCGATGCTGGGAGAGAAACGGTCCCAACGGCTGGAGAGTATGCTCTGGTGGGTAGTACTTCGGGTTGAAGATGCGGATCAACGTATCGTACCCCGTCAGATGTACCTGCTCCAGTGACGAGGAGTATATACCCGCGCGTTCAATCTCCGCGGCTTTGTCCACAAAGTATGGTTTCTTGGTGACTCCAATGTCGATCACGGGAAGATTCTGGGCCTTGGGAATAGTCCCGTTTGTTTGTAATGACGAGAGAAGGTCTCGAGCGAAGAGCTCCATCATGGCCAGACGGGTCTCGAACGCCGCCGGCTTGGAGGGCTTGTCGGCATTCTGTGTCGCGAGGAGCAATAAGAGACGGGAGGGCTTGTGGGGATTTTCTAGAAGAGCGGAGGTCGCAATTCGGCTGTGGGCAAGGGTTGGCGGGTTGAAGGACGAATCGAGGACGTACAGGACGTCAGTGGATGAGGTGGGATCATGGCGCTCGGAGGGGACAGAGGCCAGAACCTCCAGACTGCGGGTTGATGCAATGAAGAGTTTGAGGCCCGCAGCGTACTTCTCGCGTAGGGCATGAAAGGCGGGGCTCGTCATTCTGGGATTAGATGAGTCAATCTGGCGTGGTCAGTGTGACAACTCATAGAGTAGAGTATGTGTGTATGTATGATGCCCAAGGCTGGTCACGTCAGAGGCCGACAGAAGAGGTGGGGTTGTGGACGGGAAGCATCCATGGACGTTGTTGGATGAGGACCCTTTGGTGCGGGTGGCTGCAGGACCCGGACTTTGCTGGGTATACCGCCAAATACAGTAGACAGATACTATGTAGTATCTACAACGTAGAGTAGGTATGGATGTAGTACTGTATGTACGGCTTATTGGCGACGCTTCGAGACCCTAAACCCACACGGCAGAGCAACACGAGCCGATATTAAGGCTTTATCTCATTGCCCATATGTACTGAAAGGTGGATGGCGGTCTGTGAGCTATCCTCGATGGGATCGTAACACTTAAATTAAAGCCGCGATGATCACAATCAGGGACTCGGTGCTCCGTAGGCTGGATGTAGTAGTCTAGACGGACCCGGTAAGCCGGAATGTTCTGGAGTCTGGATGTCTAGATTAGGGTCAGTAGTGGTGTGTTCCTTGTGTTCTCGCTAAATGCCGCTTATTCCGGTGTGTTGGTTTATGGATTTATTGCCGGCCGCGCTCTGTGGAGTCTCCAGTGACTTGGCCAAGTACTCATCAGGGGTAAGGTAGATAGTAGATACTCCCTACTCATGCCCAGAATGTGATTGTGACATTCCAAGTATCAACAGAAGAAATAGAGTCTAGCTTACGAATGAGTGGGAGCTCACACGGAGTTAACTACTGAAATGGTGTGACTGGACAGGACTGGAGCTCTCCGAGCTTTGAGGGCTAGCCGATAAGAACCGAAGACGATCATCTCCTAGTCGATGGCGCACAGTGAAAGCGTGTTCACGGTTCAGGCAACCATATACTTTGGCCCTCAATCAGCTTGAAACGCTGGCGGCCGTGGTTTCCCCAGCTCCGGTCAGGGTCAAGAACCAAGAACAACCTCAGAGCTTTGCTTTCATCTGTTATCACCACCAGTGCCAATATCCCGCACCACACAATATAATTTATATTCCGACCTTCTTTGTGCTTGGATCACTGCCAGTAATCAACCGATATGATCAGTCTTTGTTCTGGAGGAAAATCGCCGGTGTCTAGACCCCCCATGCTGGCTCCACTTGGTCTGCACCTACCACCCACGCCTCGTAGGCCCAAGACCATCGCCGCGCAGATTTTCTTGATCAACCCTGTCAAACGATACTGGCGCGCCCACCGACGGAAATGATATCGGGATTGTCGATATACTGAGCCTCCTTGGGGACTTCTTCCTCTCCCTCTTCTCCATAGTTCGTGTTGAGAGAAGACTCGGCTCAGACATGAGTCCCTTCGGTCACAAAGCGTCTCACGCCATCAGCACGAGAAGTCTTAGCTCGGAGTCAAAGCCACTAGGCTGTATCATTTTAGCCCCTTTGAAGCATCGTTGACTAAACCACTGTAAGAAGCTTGGGGGTGTTGGCAATGAGCTCGCTAACTGTATGATGGAATGAGGATAGAGCTTGGATCCTTCTCGACTCATCATGCCCCTTTTTGTTACTTGGTTTTCTCCATGTCTCCAGAAGCCTGTGTAGAGTGTATACGTTGCCTAGTTGCGTGAATGGAGGATGTCATCTCCGCACGGTCAACTAGTGAAGGTGATAGTAAACAAATCCACAGCGGATTGTTGATTAAAGCGTGTCCACCAGTAAATTACGGTAATACCAATTCCGCGCCGGCCCATTAATGAGGTTGAGTCAAGCGTGGTGGTTGAACATACGATTGTCGGCGGTTGTTCCATGGATGCTTCGTTTGAGGACCGACGGGAATTACCACATCCGGGCAATGTTGACAACCCACACGATCGACGTTGTTGTTGTTGTTGTTATTGTTGTTTCTTTTATTTCCTGAACCAGAAACAAAAGGGCCCTGAAATGGTCCCTGAAGGGGGCGGTAACAGCTTACCGACACATCCTTCTCAGACAACCTGTGCGATCCTGATGCACGCTGGCTGTTGGTCTGGCAGCGACAGCACAGCGAAGAACTAGTACTATCCGTATTAGGCAAAACGAGGGGGAGTAAAGAAAAAAGTCGAACAAGACGGAAGCCGTGCGGTTGGCCCGTTTGGACAGGCACAATGAGATTAAGCTGGCAGCCAAGCACCAATGAGAAGAGGCGGTGAGGGGATGAAACGGGGCTTCATCTCCAGTCCAGCTAATCCGCGTGTGGTTCCTGCGCCGGAGACCCACTCGAGACTGAGGAAATTAAAATTAAGATCAATATCAGGAGGAGGGCAGTGCGTGTTGATTGGCTGAAAGGTTATCAACAACTGGGCACAGCTGCACGCCCGACACCACCTCGTTCGGCCAAGATGAGACATTAGCGCCGTATGGGCGAATCTTCCAAGACTCGCCCACCAACGGGCATCTCGCATCTGTTCCATACGATGTTGGAGAAAATACGGTGCCTGGTAATATCGCGTATCGACGGGCTGCAGGGATCCCGAATTGAATGGATTTAATCAAATTTCGATATTACGGCGTTCTCCTTTAGGTTTCCCTTTTTCTGACTTTCTTTCTTTTCCCCCCGGGTCGTTTTTTCCTTTAAACTCCTTCACTTTCTCTCCGGGCCTCCAAAAAGTCTGTCGTCAGACTGCTACATTCTCTCCTCTGTTCAACCTCTCTCTGCGAGAACGTTGCGACCTTCCTTCTTGCGTCCAGTCACTCTTTCAACCTTGCTTTGATTTACTTGCGAATAGATTTCGCATCTCACTTTCGTTGAGAAAACTACCCCCCGCAGTCTCTACCAAATAAACCAAGAACGGAATATCACTCCCATCTACTCGGACTTCTTCGAACCTCCACCATCAATCCTTCACGATGCAGCTTACTTCCAAGGTTTCCATCGCCCTGCTGGGTGCTTTCGCCGCCGTCGGTGAGGCCAACAACCACGGCTTCCATGCGCGCCAGATGAACTTCCACCCTGGTGGCTACAGCAACCAGACTGTGTCGACCTCCGTCGTCCCCGTCTACCCGACTCCCGAGCACTCCAGCGCTCCCGTTGCCCCCAGCGCTCCCGCCAGCTCCCCCGCCGGAGTCGCTGCTAGCTCCCCCATCATCGGTGGTCACTACGCCAGCAGCTCCAGCTCTGCTGCTGTTGTTGGTGCTTCCTCTGTCGCTCCCGTGCCCGTTCCCCTCGGCACTGGTGTCTCCAGCAGCGCCCCCGTCTCCGCCCCGGCTGCTGCTGCTACTGGTAGCAACGGTGTCTCGACTGAGTACGACACTGTGACTTCCACCAAGGATGTCACTCTCACCTACACCCTGGGTTCTGGTTCCACCCAGAGCGTCGTCACCACCACTATCCACCGCACCGTGACTGACGTCGAGACCATCTACGTGGTATGTTCTGGAAGCCCGTTCTGGAAGCATGAAGATAGATGTATACTAACGGATATATCTTAGACCCCCTCTGCCAGTGCTTCCTCCACTGCCCAGGACACCACCGTCACCTCTGACACTACCGTCTACTCGACCTCCACCGACTACGAGACCTACACTCTCTACGCGGTCCCTACTTCTTCCGCTGCCGCTGGTAGCTCCGCCCCCGCGGGCTCTGCTGCCGCTGGCGAGACCTGTGCTCCGGTCACTGTTACTGTCCATGACACCGTCACTGTGGTATGTACCAACTTGAAACCAAGCTGTCGGTTTGAACCCCTTACTGATGCATTGCAGACCGCCACTCCCACTCCCATCTCCACCCCCGACAGCGTTGCCAAGATCGAGGTCAGCTCCGTGTCCACCAGCGAGGAGGTTGAGACCACCACCCAGGCCGAGGCCACCACCCACAGCAAGCCCACCGTTGTCCCCACCCCCAGCGCCCCTTACGGCCACAGCAACGGCACCTTCCCTTTCCCCAGCGGCGCTGCCCGGCCCACTGGCTTCCAGACCAGCAGCAAGGTTGCTTTCCCCTCTCACTTCCGCCGCGTCTACTAAAGCCATGATTGAATTGAATTTGACTGCTTCGGGTCACGAGCTTGACGCCACGCCTGTACTGAGATTCCCAATCGTGGCGTAAAAAAGCACACGCTGGCATTGTACCTACGAGAGGATTTACTGTTTTGCTTCTGGTACAAACTTACTCAATTTTTTTGACTTCTGGATTGGCCGTCTTCGTCCATCTTCAACCTAGACTTTACTTCTCTTCCCCAATTTCCTCCTCCCCAGGGACGGGTAATTGGCTTTTCTTCTTTTCTTCTGGGATCTGTCGATTCCACCGCTTAACGAACAAAGCTCTTTTTCTTTCAATTTCTCTTTCTTCCACGAAACCTTCTCGTGAACCTCTCGGACATGAATCTCGGGATGTCAGGCGATGCGACATCAGGCGAGTTGACCCAGCAGGTGGCGAAGGCGTCTTAGCGGGTACATCGGCTCTCTGTACATTTTGTTTTGTGTGTGATTGCAGTAGATATTTCTTTCAAGATGATGACCTTGATTACGAAGCGATTTTGTTAGTCGAGCGAATGACATTCGTCTATGCTACCTCCTCCCCTTGTAGAAGTAGATACCTCCACATCCAAACTAAACATTATAAGCATGATATTAATCATAACTAATCCCCCCATCCCTAACAATCTGTTCCCTCATCCTCTGCCACTTCAACCAAGTAACCCCCTGTACCAGACAATCCGCCAAATCATCCAACTTGCCAATATCCAAACTATCCTCCCCATCCTCCCCACCTGCCTTCTTTATCCGCCGTTTCCCTTCACACTTCTCCAGGAACGAGTCCGCCAACTTCCTCACCTCATCATCACCTATCATTACCCTCCTACCCTCATCCCCATCCCCATCCCCATCCCCAACATCAGAATCAAAACCAGAAGACGACAACCACCCCCTCACCAACCCAATCTTCATCTTCTTCACATCCCTCACACTCTTCCTTTTCTTCGTCTTCTTCACCACCTCCCCTTCCCCACCCCCATCCCCAATATCCCCAACTTCCTCCCCCTCCCCCCAAAACCGACTCACCCTCCCCGGCTCAACAGGATACACCTGCACCTTCCCACCCGAAGACAAAAGTCCAGAAGAATTCACCGTCTCCAAAACAGCATACAGCATCCCCTCCAACACACCCACGCGAATCGTCCACTCCTGGACCGCGGAGCCTCCTCCCGTACGGAACCGCTGTCTTTCAATCAGAATATGGGTGGGGTTATATGTGGACAGGAGGGTCGTGATGAGGGTGTATGCGTGGCGGGCGTAGACACTAGGGGAGAAGTCTTCTTTTGCCTTTGCTTTTGTTTCTTTTGATTTGGGTTTGAGTTTGGGTGTGTTCGTGGTGGGGAGGATGAGAGATGAGATTTCTTCTTGATCATGGCGTTGGTATTGGTGATGTTGTGCATGGCACAGATCCGGAATGGAGAGGCGTTTCCATGCGGTGAGGGTAATGGTATTATTTCCCTTTCTGGTAATGTCTTTAGGTGTACCTGTCTCGGATGAGACGGCAGATGATAATGATGAAGAGTGCGAAGATAATAAAGGAGCATGCAACACAGCAAACGCCAAATTGCGAATCCCCATATCAATGCTCAGAAGTCTTATTCCATCGTCGTCACCGTTCTTCTTCCTCGTCGTCTTCTTCTTCCCATCTGCATCATGCTGAGTTTGAAGAGGGATAATCAACGGAGCAAGTTCCCCTTCTAACCTCTCCACTAATACCGCCTTGGTACCTGAGCTCTGAATTCCCGTTTTCTGGGCTATTTGTTGCAGGGCTTTTGCTTTGAGGGGGCGGAGCCAGGGGTATTTCATTTTATTTCTTTTTTGTATATCTTTTTCGGGGTTTGATGGTTGTTTGGCTGGGGCTTGGTTTCGCTTTTGGTACTGAGCTAGTAGTAGTCCTAATTGAGTTGGTTGGCTGCTTGTTCTGTTGGTGGTTTTGGCGTGGGATGGTGATGGTTGTATATTTGATAGCGTGGTATGTATATATATATATATATTAGAGTGTAATACAAGACTGGCCCGAGAATATTTGTTTTTATGCGTTTGTTGTAGATTAAAGGTTGTGAGGATAGATCAATGGATATCAAAGAATGAAACGAAGTGGATGTTGACGTTAAATCTATATCCATGATCTACTCCGTAGTTAACTTGTGTTTGATGTGCAGGTGGTTTATGAATGATAGATTACATAATAGATTATACCGCGCACAAAATACCAGCATATCATCGAACTCTACATTTTATTTAAGAGTAATACATCTCGAGTAACCATAAATTGTCAAGTTGCCAAAAGCGTCCCACCATTCTTTGCATATCGCACACATCTATCCTCCGTTTTCCTTCGAATGCCCGAAACCAACACCAGGCCCATTAAACAGTATGAAGTAGTATATATGCCTTTCCCCATGTGGACGCCAAACCAATCAAAAGAACCATGCATCAAACTCGCTGAACTGCAATCAATAATCCAAGATCAAAACTCCGCATAGTAGTCCCATATCAAAGAGTACATCAGAAGAAGAGAACTCTCAATAACCAAAACGCAAATAAGGCGATGAATTACAGAGTGGACGAGCGCGCCACGTCAGTGACCGTTCTCGTGTTGTTAGCCACGTCAATCGGTGACACACTCTCGCGCATGTATAGAATCGGCGCCCAGACGTTCCAGTGTAGCACGCCCATGTGTGCAAGGCGCATGGCGATTCGCTCGATGTCATAGTGCTGCTGTGTTAGTGACGAGGGCGGGTAGTTGCGCTGCGATTCGCAGATCGCCAGGGGTGACATGCTCATGTACTTCTTCGCCGTCGTGAATGTCGCTGCTAGCAGCTTCTCGCGAAGAGAGCTCTGGAAATACTGGAACAAGTTGGATGGGCTCGAGAGGTGGCATTCCAGTGCCATTTCGATTTGCACAATGACATCGTCCGAGACCGACCCGTCTTGAAAGCACGCGGCGCATGCAAATCGTGCGATCTCGAGCGCGATGCTCCGTACGGTTTTCAGCCACCGAGGATCCCCTCGAGGATAGTCTTCGTTCTCTTCCATCAGCGATCCGATACGGGTGCGGAAAGTAGCGTATGTTTGCGCGGGCGCCGAAAGATACCGTTTCTGTGCGTTGATGTACGACTCGAAGATGAACCAGCAGATATCGAGGTTGATCAGCTTTTGGAGACAAGACCGCAGCTGCCGCAGCCGGTCCGAGTCGAAAACGAACGTTTCAGGAAACTTGTCTGGTCGCCGGTACTGCAGAAGAAAGTCGGTGATGCCACCAAACAACAGAGAGATGGGCCAGAACCCATCCATCTGTGTAGGTTTCGACATGCGGCACAACTCTCGATCGCGGAGGTCCAGATACCACTGTCGCGAGGTTTCCACACAGAAATTGTCCCTCTCGATCTTACCTCGGAAATACTCCTGTAGGAACGGAACGGTGTCTTCGATGAGCAATACGCGGAAAGCACGGATTTGGTGATTGGCAACATCCTAGAGACACATTAGCAATTGCATCCAATATGCGTGGCCACCAAGCCCAGCATGCTCAATCCTTACCAGTTTCATCGCTTCCAGAATTGCGAACAGGGTTTTGAGTCCTTCGACGATTTGGTGCGAGTTTTGCGACTCCGACCCTGACCGTATCTGCTTGACCATCTTATCCGCCCATTCATCGCGCATAGGAGCGCAGTGTGTCTTGAGCAAGGCCGCCAGCCAGCTTGCCACGCCCACCATATCAAGTACGCCCTTCTGGATTTGTTGCATCAGGAGTGTTACCTCGAGATTTTGTACCACAGCCGGATGGTCCCGCTCAGGGACGAGCGTTTTCAGAACGTCTTGCAAAGTTTCGAACATGGCGGGTAGCCGCGGTTCAAAGGTCCGCGATAGATTATCTGAGATTCCAACATTGTCTGTCCTGTTCGTCTCCTGTACGGCACCAAATGCGTATATAGCGATCTCATCAGCCATAGCCTCCCAGTAGTCGTGGGCCTCCTTTCGTTTCCGTTCGCCCTTTTCTCCCTGCAGGTCAGGTTTGAAGTGAAGATCACGGTCGAAGTTGGCATCCATTCGGAGGTTAATGTTGCTCATGATACAAGGCAGGTCCAGTTCACTAAGCGTGCTCTTGGTCACTGGCGGATACCTTTTAGCAGCTAGTAGCCGTTGATGTTGTTCCAAGCTGAGTGGCAGGGCTGGGGGAATATGCATTGCTCGTGCAGAAGGCGCCAGGACCCGTGTTGCCATCTGGATAGGCGACGGAAATGATGGGGCTACACCGTCACGGTAGGTATATTTACCCGGCTGGCGTCGCTGGTGCATATTCGCGGAGTCTGGGGAGCTCTTCGCATCGCGATGGTGGTCCAGAGAATCATTCTTGGGCGAGTCCTTCGCATGACCGCTGCCTCCATATGCTTCCAGGGGGCATTCGGAATTTTCTTCCTTCTTGCCCGGCGTATCTCGCCGGGCCTCCTTCGTCTTTTGAAAGTCCATCTCCATCCGATCTTGCCAACGCCCAGAAAGGGTTCGGAGCAGACGAGGTAGGAGAAACTGCACCAGTCCAGGAAGAGAGATGGTCTGGGGTAGACTCGGAAGAATGAATAGCGGAAATCTGGAGACAGCGATTAGAACGTGGGGGTCACGGGCATTTCCTGGGCGATAGGACGCAAGGCACCGGAAGCCCTATACTCGACGGCGGGTTCGGATTGGGATCCCTTCGCAGCGACCCTGCGAACAGTCCTTGCCTGCGGTCGACAGGAACCCAGGTGAGGGAGGGAGAAATAGTACGCACCCGAGGTTAGTCAACGACGTCGATCGCCAATGCCGATCATAAAACGGGCAATCGTGGATGCCGGGCTTGTCAAAATAGTGTTTCGATAGTAATAAGACCCTAGGTGAACCTTTCGGGATTGGGGCCAATTTCCTTGTTTTGCGAATCGGAATTTCAGTTTCCTCCTTTCCTTTTTCTTTTCTTCTTTATTTTTTTTCCCCTCACTTTTTTTCTCTTATCTGCGTCTCCTTGCCAAGTCAAAAAGCTCGAAGAAACCGGCCGGGCACCAGATGAAACTGGGTCGAGGACCGTCGCAGGCAGCAAAGATATATGAAGGGAACAAGGTCCAATGGCTACGCGACAACAACAAGAAAGGAGATCACCGTAGCAAGCAAAGGTAGTTGGCAGAGTGAAGTTCAATGGCGACAAGAGAAGCAGTAGACAACGTTGCTCTGACAAATCGTGTCTAACCAGGTTGACAAAGAGACCGGGATATCAGTTGTATTGATATAGCCAATGACGACGAGGGGATATAGGCATGCAGGTTCAGTATACTCCTATACTACTAAGTAGGGAGTACTTAGTAGTAACAGTGTTCAGAGCCTGAGGAGAAGGATGGCCCTGCACGCAATCAAATTTCAAGGAAGGAGGGTTTACAAGCCCGCAGTAGGTTGGACACACGAGCCACCGGACGGAGAGCTAAAAGGAAAGAGAAGGAGTGCGGCGCAGTAGCATCGCAGTAGATAGGGACAGAGAAGGGGAAAAAAGACAGAGAGTGCGCGCGAGAGAAAGAGAGAAAGAGAAAGGTTAGAAGACAGCCAGCATGCGACTGACTAGTCAGAGGCACCCACTGCCTTTTGCAGGAGCGCTGCGAAAAGTGAGGCTGATCTAATCTAGACGCTTGCAGCAGCTACGAACTTTCCGGGGCGCTGTTTCGCACCTGGGAACGGGCACCGAGGGAAAGGGAATTTTGGAAACGTTCAGTGAGTCGGTCCAGCGATCCCTAGTCACATAGTGGATGACGTGGGATGCTTGGAGGGGGGGGATTTCCCTTTTCTTAACTGGGTTCGTTCTGGCAGGCGAGTGGGTAAAAAAGGATGGGATCAGATGAGGATCAGATGGGGATGGGATAGGATCACTGCTGCGCCGTGAGCCTGCTTCTGATCCTGATCCGTTCGTTCATTCCTTAACGGCCGCGCGAGGGCGCAGAACGAAACTCAAATCTCACCACCAACAATCCCTGCTGGCTTTTTGCCAATATTTTTTACTCTTTTCCCCCTCCCTTCCCCTCCGCCCCCAGCAGCATTCCTCAGCAACAACAGGAAACCCCCCCGGTATCGTGTACGATCTCAAAATCCGGGCGTGTGCCGGTGCCAATGCTGGTACCCGGCCATTGTGGGAGTGAATCCGGTCCTGACTGTCCCTTACCATCGGCGCCGATGTGATAGGGAGGCCGTCCCCCCCAAAATCCCAATCATGCGTTCAGCGACAGGCGCCACCAATCCCTCTGGTCAGGATAGGATATATTCGGCCAGGAGGAAGGTGGGAGATCGTCGAAAAAGAAACGAAATAATTTAGGTCAGTGTGCAGAAGGGGCCGGACACAAGCACGGAGTATACATGCACCTCTGTACCCAGAGGGCATTCGGTGTATTCCCACTTGAATAATGTGCAGACAGCCAGAGGGACGATGCAGCCTGCCGTCCCCGGTGTTCAGATCAATTTGGGCCACGGATCCATCTTGATCCGGCTTCTTGTTAAGGGTGTATTGCTTTTTCTTCTCTTTATTTTTAATTCTTACTTTCTTTTTTTTCCCTTTTCTTCTTTTTGCCTTTTTTCTCCTTTTTGCTTCCCATTTTACCTTTTGTCCTGGGAGTAGTAGAAACCAGGGCAAAGCAGGGGGCATCCGGGCATTCCAGCCCTTGATGCATCCAGAAGTACTCCCGAAGCTATCCTTGCGATGGACTGTCTTCGTCATCGTCGACATACTGAAGAAGATCGGGATATAACTCTGTCAGGACATCCATGTCCGCTCCGATCAGATCATTCCAATTCCTTCCTCCGTTCTGATTACTCTTTAGTGGCCTTTCTCCCAAAGCGGGAAACAGTCCGCCAACGGCTCTATGCGACACCGACCATTGCTAGTCAAGGCCATCCCCGTCATGCCATCCGGATTGACCTCGTGTTGTGAATGGTACACTCTAGTCGCCTGTACCCTGTCAGGTACAAATTAATTGTTCCTGTGGTCTGCGCGCCTCCAGCGCCCCTACTGTACAGTGATGTTGCCTCTCCGAAGAAGATTCTTCCGTTGGTCTGTTTGCGATCGAAACACTGAAAAATGCTCCATCGAAACCTTAAAGCCCGGTCGTAGGACTCATCACCTACTTCGTTCTATCGTGTGTGGGATTGACAATGATAGTTTCCGACTGAATTCCGTTTTGGTCCACCGACAAACTGCGATTGAGTCTTCCTTTCGGTGACCGCCGACGGAAAGATTGCGCTACAGACCCCTATTCCTTCACCATTGCCGTCTTCCGTTGTAGGGGCAACAGGGGGTGGTGCTAGAGGGGAAGTGGTTAAACCAAGAGCCGTGATCATAGTTTCTTACCTCCCATTGTTTTCGACTTTTCCTTCCTTGGGGTGGGACATGGGGGATGTAAACGATCCACCCGCCCCTAGCAGATTGATAGATAGAAAAGCCCACTTAAGAGTCTCGGTCGGAGTGGATCTCATACACGCGTGGTGGCATCGGTAGACCAACCCGAGTCAGCGACAGCCCTGGACCACACCTCCCCAGTCTTAACCTCAATATCAGAATCTGGCCGGGCTTCCCCCCCCCCTGCAAGTGGGCTCACGCGCGGGATGAGGAATGGACTATTGACTCCGACCGCTCCGTAAGTACTTTGTAAGTGGGAGGACACTATCGATCGACATCGTAAGATTATTATTTAAGCTCGGAGTCTGCTGAAGGGCAGAATCTTAAAAGACGTGCCAGGGGGGTGGATACACCCAGGGAAGCAGTCGACCAAAACGGAGGGGGAGCAGACAATGTGGCTGGATCATTATCCAAGACCGCGCACGAATAAAGGGGCTTGACTGCCGGCGGTCTTGCGTGCGCTTGGCGCCTCACTTTAGTAGTGCACCGATCACGATGGATTTGACCCTCCAACGCAAACTCGCCTCATTATTCCGGACCTGGTCGGAGAGGCGGCAATTGGAAAGCCAAGCCCGTTTGCAAGCAAGCCGGTATAAAGAGCGGTGATGGTTCAGACCCATTTCTTCATGCCAACCTGCAGGCGACAATCTGAGAAGTATGTCCGGCTCTGCACCCTCATTGGCTCCGTTTCTAGTAAATTTGTTTTCTACTCTGCTCTTGTTGAAGCGGGGCGGGGAGGCGATGCCGCTTCTCTCCGTCCGCCTGGGAATTATCATTGACAAGGCGGGATGGAATGAGTGGTGGTGGTGAATGGTGACAGGGGAAGGATGACGCCTATGGCTTTTTACTGCTTTCTGGCTGGCTTCCTTTCTATTCCAACGACACCGACTTTTCAGTGGGGTTGTTCGGCCCGTAGTCGCGACGCTTGCTGCATCATCTGAGCTGATGATCCGAAAAAGTGATGCTTCCAATCCGACGATAGGCAGCCGCGAAACCGACGAGAGTGAGAACGAATGCAAATGAGATGCCGCTTGGTGGAAGCAATGCGATGGGCCCCAGGACTCGATGGTGACATGGATGATAGAAAGAAGATTTCTTGTTTGGAGACAATGTTCGATCCCGTGACAGCACCATCGGCCCTAGCCCTGTGCCCCGTGCCCTATGCAGCTTCGAGGGGTTTGCAGGATGCTTTGCTTCTGCTTCTGCTTCAATCAATCATCCCAGCATGTATACAGAAAGTAACTAGTCTAGGCATTGACGGAGTGCCTGTCAGTGCTTGTCACCTCTTTCGCGACTAGCGTCCTACGGTTATCCCCACTGCTACAACGTACCATGGTTGACAGGGAAGATTAGTATCTTCCATCCAAGGCTGGCTGGAAACAATATCCGGGCAGTATACGAGCAGAAAGACGTACAATTCTTAGAGCGTGTATGCCAATGGATTGGTAGTCTTGCTCAACCCTCCCTTCCAATCACTGCAGGATCATTACCCACTTCATGTTTCGTAATTCATGCCGCAGGAATTGACATAATTCCTAACCTTTTATTAATTAGTATGACCAGAACGGCCAATTTGAATAATGCTGGACGGATATTGACTGGACATTACATCTCTCAGTTGAGTGAACCAACCTTCTCCATGTCAAGCGCGAAAAGGCTGTGCAACTATTGCCGAATCTCCATCTTCCTACCCATATCACCTACAGCCTTTTCTCACCATTGATTGATTACTATCTACCACATCCCTACAACAAATACCATTCTAGAAGATCCAAGATGCCACAGAAAGCTAACCAAAGCCTATCTAAATCCCAAGAGCGCCACCCAGCGGGATCCCATCGTCCCAGCCAAGCCAAATCAAGCCACAGACAAAGACATCATAGTACACCTCTCCCTCCCTCTCTACATCCCCCTTCTTCCCTCCTCACCTCGGACACAGATCCCAACCAAACATTACCCCCCAGCCAAGCATTTCATCCTCCTTCATATTCATCTATCTACCCTCCTCAGTCAGATCTTGTACAACCTACACCCCACATAACAGGGAATCAACAGACCTCCTACACCCCCCTGCCTACACTCTCCTCCTCCTCTTCTTCTTCAGCAGCAGCAAACAAACAAACAAAAAAACAAGTACCGAATGCATCAACTGCCTGTACCACGGACCTCTACCAAGTCCAAGCACCCCCTGGGTTATGCAGATACAGCATTGGTAATCGAACTGTATCAGCATCAATAACGCTCTCGCTCGCTCGCTTGCTTGCTCGCACGGCCACATTGGATTGGATTGATCCCACCCCTCTTCCATCCCCGGATGGCCGTCGCAATCTCAATCCCCTCCCCTCCCCTCCATTCCAATCTATTCCAAATACATCGTCCGTGCAGATTCTGCAGTCCTGTTCATCCCCCGCATTAGTGCATCTCTATTATAGAAATCACTACTAGAGATGGTATGTATCATGAGATGAAGGGGGTGTATAGATGTCTCAGTGGAATACACATACCTGACACATGGAAATTAGTACTTCATTGTGTTCACAATAGATATGTCTGTGTGTTGTATTTCCTTCTCTGTGTGTGAGTATGTGAAAATGCTGTCATTGTGCAGGTGAGTACATAGGCGACGGCATATGCGAGTAATAACTAGTATTGTTTGTGGGAGATGCAGGATACCTAGATAGTAGATAGTATTTACTAGCCATGAAGTAGAAGATGAGTAGTAGTATGATGTTTGCTTGATTGCTTGATTGCTTGTTTGCTTACCTGCCCACTGTCACTCATCTACTAAGCATGGATACTTCATTCGTATATGCACGAGACTTCTTGTTTGGTAATTGACAGCCTAGGGGATATAGATCCGTTACCTGCGTGCTTCTTTCGTTCTTTGCTTTGCTGGAAGCACATATAACTTTACAATACTACTTATCTCTAGTTAGTCTACAGATACAGCACGTACCATATCGCTTTGCAGATATCGGCTAATCCGATCCACAATCAGCAGACTACGACCTGCCAATCCAGGCAAACAAATCACAAGATATTCTTATTTCATTTCGCTCTAGTCATTATCCATCAAAAAGAAGAAATTGGGGGTAAAAAAGGAAGCTAGAAAGATGACACGCTATGCAAGGTTTCTGTCCCTGGGAATTAAAAACCCATACGCCATTTTTCCCTTTCGCAAAAAGATAAAAAAAAAGACCAGATATGTGATAGTAGATGTCCCTTTTATCCCCGACTCCCTGATACTTCCGAGTGTAAGATGAATGCGGACAGGGAGTGATGAACAAATAAACAAACGACTAATGGAACAAACAGGCAAACAAGGCTGAACTAAACGAATATCAACAGTGTGGATCAAGACGGGGTGGGTGTGTATAGCTGAGGGTTCTCGACTCGAGTCACGACTGCGCACGATACAATCCAGGTATACATACTGAAACAGACGCAACCAGGCTCTCTTTCTGGTCTTGATGATCAAACTTTGTACCTGCAAAGATCATGGGTAAGATATAGAGAGCAGCTACCCCTCGCAGCAATAAGAGCAAGCACAGAGATATGCGACAGAACTCCAATCACCGTAGCACAGACTCCAATCAATGAAACACTGCCTCCTCCGTACAACTGCAAATGCTAACGTCTCACCGACGACTGAAAAATGGCGCCTGATTGGGCATCGAGAGCAACGAGTCAGCTCTCTGAAACACATCCCCTTCGAAGAATTTGTCACTGTACGCACTTGCGGGGGTAGAAGGCACGGTTGCCTGCGCGGCTGGTCCAAGGGCAGCACTTAGCGGAGTTGCCGGCAGATGAACGGACTGCGGGGATACGCCGGAGTTCAGATGAAAGCTGCTTGCATTGGATGCGGTATTCTGGTGCTGTGAATGTTGGGATTGTAGCGGAGGCCCGTATATGGTTGCTGACGCGTTGGCTGGGGCCATATCGGCAAGGTAAGACCACGGGGAGGCATCGATCAACCGACCTGCTTCTCTGCTTGCTCTCTGGACTGGACGAAGTATGACAATAATATCACCCGGAAGAAGCTGCATACTTCGAACCTCCCTCATGTCGGTAACTAGATCGACAAAGGACTGCATGAACGCCTTGCAGAGTTGCCAGAACTCGCGCTGGTTCCGCATCCCGCCGCCGGGCTCTTTTACCTTCATGTTGGAGAGACGAAGACCCAGGGCCTCGGATACTTCTAAGCATACCCGGCACCGCCGAATGAGATTGTTCCATAGCATTAATATGCCTTCCGATTCATGTTCCTGCTCCGCTACCTCATGGCATCGCACTAGCTGACGGCGCGCCAAAGGCAAGGCTTGTAGGGCAGCGGTGTAGGCAGAAGTGAGTTGATAGAAAATCTTTTCAAAAATCCGCTCCTCCTCGATCTCATCTAAGCCTGTCAAAGGATTGATTCGAGGTACAACTGCACTGGGCATTGGAGGGAATGACTCGCCTGAACGAGGGGTCGCGAGTGACGACGGTACGGATGTGTTGATATGATTAGATCTGCTACTTGACCGACTTCGTGTCCCATAGCTAAACGGAGTCGGAGCAAACCCAGGTGAACTGACAGCGGACTGGTAGTTTTGAGCAGCCTGGAAAGGACCGGTCGTAGTGATCTGAGGGTGCTGGATTGTGGTGTCACTTCGCAACCGACGCGTCGACAAAGAATTCTCTCTCCCCCTGGTTGGAGTGACTGTGGGTCCAAGGAAGCGGTCCGAGCTAGCCGATTCTTTGATTTCAGGTATAGATGGCTTCGTGACAGAGGGGGGCTTGCGGGTTTGGAGTGGGATACCCAGGCTCGCACAGGCATTGCGTAGTTCAACCACGCTGCCAAAGATCATGAGCATCAAGGAACGCAAGTAGCGTGGGTCACCATTGGCAACTATCTTGTCGATGCTATTGCGCAGTTGCGTTCCGACATGAGTGTACGCAATTATGCATGTTTCGCATTCCCTTTTGACAGCCTCATTCGACGAGCGCACCCCATCCACGTCGTCAGAATGGTGCTCCGCATTTTCTATGGCTTCATTTAACCGTTCAACGTGGGTAGAAGCGTTGTAGAAGACGATCTCGAGACTGTTGCGCCGAGCATCATCGCGTTTGATCACATTGATCAGAGACGAAACATTCGACTGCACTTGGAAGAGTGCAAAAAGAATACCTTTCGCACACTCGATGATAGGTTCCGCGGTTTCCCTTTCGCCCTTATGTTCTGGCAGACTCGACATTCGGTTGACAAAACCATCCTTTAAGCGCCTGCGTTCCCTCGGGCTACTGGGGCTTGAGGAGTTACTGTTGCACACGGCTGCAATGGGCCGGGTGCGAAGAATAGAGCCATAACTCAAACCCCGTAAATGACTGTTCCGATACGGTCGGGTCTCGTCCAACGTCCCTAAGTCGGTATTCTTCCGAATGACTCCCATCCGCTTGTTACGCGCGGCCAGAGAGGCCTGGATGATACCTTCACTGTTGCTCCGGTTTCGTTCATTGACTCCCGCGATGGGCCTTGCGCCGGAACGTGGGAGAAACCCGCCCTGGAAGACCGACTGTCCCGAAGCAATGCGATAGTGTGATTTGAGAGGTATGGGCGGAGGTCGAGACAAGGACGGTGACTTTGGGTCGGAAGAAAGATCACCGGTGCTGGGGATCACCGGAAACCGACTGCTCACTCCGCGCTTGACGGGTTTGGGGGTGTCCAACATGCCCTCGCTGGAAGTAGCAGTGTCAGTCGGTTACTTTCAGATGACAGGTTATGTCCATACCTGAGCTCGTTCCTCTCCACTTCCAGAGTCGTAACAGGCTGCTTGGTTTTCAAGAATCGCTTCAGCTCGGCAGTAACCGCGACCTCCTTCTCATTGTCCGTCATTGTCGAGGGGGCGAACTCTGTCTCAGACGTCTCGAGTAGCCGTCGCAGGGGGCCCCGCAAGGGGTTCCCAGCTACTTTGAGAATTTGAAGTTTGTTCATGTCGGAGATTCCCAGAGGCAAATCATCAAGGCGGTTCTGCATTACCGATAGAACCCGGAGTGAGGACAATTTCTTGATCTCCTCCGGGAGGTGGCCGATCTTGTTGCGGCTGATATCTAGGATCTCAAGAAGCGGCAATTTGTATACCTGAACTCTCAGTTAGAATCGCAAAATCACCCTGTAGGTCAGGCAAGCAACATGACACTTACCCCCTTGGGAAATTCTCGAAAACTATTCGCACGAATATTGAGATATCGGAGATGGGAACATTCCGCGAATCGGTAGGGTATATGGAAAAGGTGATTATTCGATAGCGAGAGGCTGCATGACGTTAGCTTCTCTCCAAATTTGACCGTAGGTTCTGATATCCAGTATCACACACCGTTCAACTTCATCCTTGATGATGTCCACTACCGCTTCGGGTATACGGACAATGTTGGAATGGCCCAAGTCGATGGTCAATTTTGGCTTCACCACATCGCTGACTGCCTCACTACCTGCTAGGGAGCGTTTAGTCTCTTGAATACCATTTTCCACTGCTCGGCGCGCCAGTTCAATAGTTTCGTCAGGTGACAAAAGACGGGGGCCCGTCTGATGTTTTCCCAGGCTACTGCTGCGACCATCACCAGCGGACCCGTTCACCAATGCAACCTCGTCCTCGCTTTTTGCCGCCACTTCGTTGTTAGAAGAGGAGGACGAAGAAGAGAGGGTGTTCTGTTCCGGAGTTCGCCTGCTAATATCCTCCTCATCCACGTCGGTTCGGTATGAACGAGGCATCCTAATGGCGTCCTCCGGGCGGACCATTGTAGAAATCATGGTTGAAGATATGAGAAAGGAGCTGTTCTAGCGGCTATGTCTGACACTTGTCGTCTTTCCAATGTACGCGAATATCGGACAATTGATCAGATGGTCAGAGAGTCTCCAAGACGTGCATTGAGACCGGAACGAAGCATGATCATCAGGCGCTGCAATAGCGACGTAACCGTAAAACCCAAACAAAGGATACGTAAATTCTGTACAAAAGCGAAAGGCGTATGGTGTTGAGACCCCGGTTCGAATGTGGCGCGAGGCTGGCCCAGAGAGCTTCGGTTGGGCTTCAAACGTACGAAGGCCCGCTCGGGTTCTAATGAGAATACGGAGGTAGGGAGGGATCGTTGGATGAAACTCTGAGCGATCACGGGTTGAGCTATCAATTTGACAGGTTGTATTGAAGGGTTTGATCACACTGGCAGTCGACTTTGGTGCCAAAGGATGCGGTCGGGGTTCAGAGCAAGCCGGCGTTAAGTTGATCAGTGAAACGCGAAGAGATGCAGCTGTCAGACGAGAACCACTGTCCGGCAGATTATCCGAGCATGCAGCAAAACTGAATCTCGGATTCGTGAGAACACTCTCTGTCGATGAGATGCAAGCAGATGCCAATGGATAAGATGGCCCGCAGTCTCTTGCAGGTCGAGCAAGCCGACTGACAAGAGGGTCGAGATGAATCGGAGAAACGCCTGGTCGATAACTTTCTGGGGGTTCGGGCGCGATAAGTCCGCCCCAATGATTGGCTCAGGGGACACCCGGCAGACACACTTGAAACACCACTATTGTTTGAGGTTCGACGGCTCACGAACTGTCTTCCGACTTTCATGTTCCAGATGATTCATTGCCTCACAGCGGGGTTTCGTGGTTCTAAATCACTCTTTTGCTACATATGTATAGTTGATATGTTGGCTCTACTGCTAGCTACCCATCCGTGCAACCCCTTGTCCACTTGACCTGACCAACACAGCTGAAAACGACAATTCATACGTGACCCAAAATTCTTATTCACAGCAGGAAAGGATATAGAAAAAGCATAGAAAATAAAACAGAGCGACTCAAGAAGAAGGAAAAACATATCGACAGTCCAGTAGTGTACATAAGCCATTAAAGAGTCTGGCAAAACCCGCCCTCATCCGGGGTTGACAATACTAAAACCCTCAAAAAGTAGCAACTCCCGACTTCAGGCTGCTGCCGCAACCTTCTCCGTGGCATCATCATCCAGGCTCGTCTCTGGCTCCTCAGCAGCTTGGACTTCCGGGGCTCCGAGGAACGCAGCCATTCTCTGGTCCGAAAGCTGGGCCTGCAACTTGGCCCACTCCTTCCAGCGCTCATATTCCTTGTTCTCGAGGTCCATACCGATCTGTAGACGTGTCGGTCCGAACACAGCACCAGTAGCTTCGGCTTCCTCGGCAGCAACACGTCGTTCAATGTCTTCCTGTAGACGGAGGCGGTAGAATTCACGGCGTGCAATATCGTAAGCGGCGCTCTTGGTCATATCGGGGACATTATTGAGGAGCCAAAGCTGTCGCTGAACAACGCTATTTCACCGGAAAACAAAAGAGTTAGCATCAAATATTTAAATCATCGGCGAGATCCTCCCGCCCACACATTAAAGACACCCTAAACGTACCTCTCACCGTCCAGGTGCTTTCCTCGCTGCTGGAGCCGGCTCCAGTTATATCTCTCAAAGTCCTTGCCGGATTTCTCAACAAGCACTCGGGGTCGGGCAAGCTCCCAGGGATGGTCGCGGAAAAATTCCTTGCGCAGTTGATCCTCCTCGTACTTGATTTCGACAGGCTGAAACATGCGGCTTGCCTTCTTCGGCTTGATGCGTTTCTCCTGGACTTCGAAGACGGCCTGCGGCCTCGATGCGCCAGGGACGGTCTTCAGGCGCTGGCGAACCAATTGGTGTTGTTGAGGTCGGTTACGCACCAGAACCTCAGTAGGGGGGACATCGTGCATTATATCAAGCCATTTGGGGGTTTGAGGAAGTTTGCCGGCGGCTTTCTGTGCCACAGCGGTTTGGCGAACCCGGAGGGCCGTGAGGTTATATTTGCCCATCGTTAGTCGGACGCGGCAGCCAGAAGGCCGTGCAGAATCAGCGGACAGGAAAGGACAAGTCCGGAGAGCAACAAACCCGACGGAGGGATGAAGCGAGTGACCGGCGGGACGATCAATGGACCAAGCTTAAAGATATGGACGACGACTGGCCTGGACCCAGGTGTTCGGGAGACAAGATCATGGGCAGGGAAGGTCCGGGAGTTTGGTGTTCCAGATACCTGCGCAGGTGCAAAAAAGAGGATTGGCAATGCGCGCCTCCGATTGGCCCGTCGCCGGCTCCGCCCGGTGCAAAGCCAGAGCGAACGCCAAAGCCCATAATAATAATTTGACCCAGAGCTCAACCTCGCTGTCTATCTACTGCTTCTTACGCCCTCCTACTTCTCCCCTCCCTCTGTGCCCTTTGGGACGTCCTTCGTCCTTGTCCCCATATTCTTTTTCGACTACTTCCTCTCACGCTTGAAGAGCTCTCGGGCCATTTCTCTTCAAGCTGCTCGAGATTTCCTCGGGACATGCAGGGCTGATCCAATGCCACGATGTCTGCCATCTCATGCCTCCTCCCAATAGGTACCAGAACTCGACCGACCTGCGACTTCTCCCCTCGCAGCGGTTGGATACGAGTCTCCCCTCCCGTCACACTTCGATGTCAAACTCCGAACCGTTCTCCTACAATGCCTCCTTCAGACGACTCAGTTCCAGACGTGCCCGCCCTACCGCGGCGTCGTTAGCAGACCTTTTTGTCAGCTCCCTGGTCATGGCAGGCTACTGCCATGAGCACACCCCTCGCGCTAGGGGGATCTCTACGATTTCCATGAAGAATCCAGGGAACAACGTCGCTCGATGGCAGGATCGGGGGTTGACACATCGCAGGCAATTGTCGTCGAAACATCGCCTGGACTGTCTAGGCACATCGACAGGGAGTCTGCATCGTTCAAGTGCACAACGGATGATTAATTCTGGTGTTGCGTTGAGAATAGAGGATGAGGATGGTGAAGGGAACTGCTATGCGAACAGCCCGTCAGCGAAATCTTCATTTGAAGATCGCTACCTTGGCGCGGGTACAAAATCAACATTACAGTCACATGGAGGATTACGAGAGATGGATCTGGAGAAGTTGAACAGCGAGCTACCAACGGCAGACACAGGATCAACTAGCGAAGATAATTCAACTGCGAACGACAAAGCCCCTGATGATGACAAGGTTGGCCGTTTACCGGATTTGTCGAGCAAGTCGGAGAAATATCGCCATCACAAAAGAACGAGTCCAAGCAGGAAAGCATACACATCGACCTCACAGTTATATCGAGCTGCCTTTGGTAGTTCACTCAATTGGAAACAGGCAGTTGATCTTGTTGCGAACGAGACACAGAAGGGACCGCCCTCAAACGAGGTATTTCCGACGGTAGACAAATCGCGGGACGCTTTGGAATACAAAACGGTTGAGGTATTCTTGGATGCTATGTGGAATGAGAGGATTTCAAACCATTACGTGTTTCGACTCTACCGAGATCTTCCCTCCCCCGGGGTTGCTTACCTGTCCAAACGCTCCAGAGGAGCACTCCTACGTCGGTTCGCCGATCCTCCAGATCGTCGTTGGGTGGATGCTCGTCGCTACCTTGCGTTGATAGAAGACATGGTCGCTGCGAAGCTTCCCATATCCCGCTCGCTCTGGAGTTCCGCTATACACCTTGCAGGACGAGCGTCTGGGAAAGTACGCAAGCAAGATGTGGTGAGGGCCATTGGACTATGGAAACAGATGGAATATCTGGCGCGTGTTAAATCTGATGACGTCGTGTTCACCATTCTCTTCGATATTGCCATCAAAGCGAATCAGTTTACCGTCGCGGAACGACTATTGGAGGAAATGAAGAAGCGTAACATTGAGTTCCGGCGCTTCGGAAAGGTCTCCAAGCTCTACTATTGTGGTATGCAAGAGGATGTTGCTGGCATCCAAGAGACATTCAATGAATTTGTATCAAGTGGTGAGATTGTTGACACGGTTGTAATGAATTGCCTAATGGCGTCATTTATTCGTGCCGGAGATGTGGACTCAGCGAAGCAGATATATACGGAGATGCTTGAGGCCCAAGCAAAGTCTCAGGAGACAGGGGAACTAAGCATCGAGTCGAAGCATTCAAAAACACCGCATCTCACATCGGAGATGAATCTCTATCGGAGCAGAGTGAAGAAGCTGGGTCGAGTCCTGCAAGAATCCACCTCACTGAAAGAGATCATGCCTGAACACCATCGTGCGCTTCAGCAATCACTTCACGCAATCCCTGACACTCGAACATTCCACATATTTCTTTCATTGCACGCTTACAAAACCGCTGACATTCATGGTTTCATGTCTGTCCTTGCAGACATGGAGAAAGTGTTTGTGGTTCCGCCGCGTGGTATGATATACCTCCTGCTTTTTGACGGATTCGCTCGCAACGGGCGAAACAAGAAGGGCTGGACCGCCGAACGGCTACGTGTAGCTTGGAAAACCTATCTGCGTGCTCTCTACGAGTCGAGGACGAGACTCATCGAAATGTACCGCAGCCAAAGTGGAAAGCAGATCACAGAGATCCCGGTGTTGAAGGCCCCCGCTGCCATGGAGATAGGCTGGCCAACCATTTCGCGAAAGCCAAGCGGATTGTACACTCCATTGCCTTTTGCTGGCACCGCTGCCAAGGAGTGGGGTGAGGCCCAGAACGAGGAACAGAAGGTGATGGGCCAGTTCGACGAGCGCAAATGTGTCTCCCATGCCAATGAAAGCATGACTGCTCTCGAAGAAGATATTGATGTTGACGAATTGTTTCGACAGCAAGCTCAGGACCTGCAAAATGAGCTGCAAAATGAGCCGCAAGATTCGGAAGAAATCGAACGCCGGATAGAGAATGGCGTCTTTCTTGGCCGTCGAATGATCATCATTATTCTCCGCGCGTTCGGTGCATGCTGCGGGCCAGAGGAGCTTATGAAGGTCTGGCTGCAGATTATACGAATCTGGCAGCCGGAGAAGCGCAAGGCGCTGGACGTCCTGGCTGCCAAGGAAGAACTAGAGAGGCAGATGAACCGACTCCAAAGGCAGTATTAGCCAGTGATGGAGGGTTAGATGTGGGACGGTGATGCATGTACATTATAGACCTGTTATAGTAGTATATACCCTCAGGTTGGAGCCTGATAGCGGTTTTTCAACGGCAACAGCTAAAGGCTGTCGCTTGTTATCCTGTACAGCGAACAAGCTTGTGTGTTATTAGTTTTTTTTCTCAAATGATATCATCAATAATGGATTCAAGAATTGGGTCTAGAAATTCATTATAAACTTACCGATCAAGCTGTAGTATATAGTGCTATTGGCAATGGCGAGATACTCTGTTCACTAAATCATAATCCCATCTGCCTTCCTGATTAGGATCTCTATCGATATCACGTGGTATCGCGTATCGTGCCTTCCCCGCGTCGCGTCTTCCAGCCGATGCCTCAATTCTCGATTCTGGGAAATCTCCCAGCCTGTGCAGTCATCTGTCGTGCTTCTAACGATGCTGCAGAAATGGGAAGTGGGAATCTCAAACGTCGCAATGTGGATATAGACTTCTACCTCCGCCGAGTTTTCAGGAAGAAGTCCTTTCGGTATGTTTAAGCTGCCACCAGTTCCTACTAGAGTACTCGACTCAAAAGAAACTATCATATAGTCCTCTTCAGCGTGAGGTGATCACGGCGGCCATAAACGGCCATGATGTGTTTCTGCAGGCAAACACTTCATTCGGGAAAAGCCTTTGCTTTCAACTACCTGCAGTCATAAGCCATGGCGGTTGGTCCACCTGCGTCTACCACTCGAAGATCTTCATCTTTCGGATTGTGTCTGACGATATCTCTAGTGACCGTTGTGATTAGCCCTTTGCTCGCTTTGATGGTCAGCCCGCGCAATATCCACTCTCGAGCAGTACTAATATGTCGTGCAGACCGATCAAGTAAAAGCGCTTCAAGCTTTAGGGGTTGCGGTAGCAACAATCAACTCGACGACTCCGATTGCTGAGAGACGTGTGATCTTGGACGACCTACTATCAGGTCATCCGAAAACCCGGCTTCTCTATGTGACACCAGAACTCTGTCAGACAGAAGGCTTTCGACGCAATCTACAGACTATCCACCGCCAGGGAGAACTGAATCGTGTTGCCATCGACGAAGCTCATTGCATTAGTGAATGGGGCCATGACTTCCGGCCGGCGTACAAAGAATTGAGCTGGTTCAAGCAAAGTTTGACGAATCCACCGATCCCAATTAGTGCGCTAACAGCAACTGCAACGCCTCGTGTTCGGGAAGATATCATCAGACTTCTTGGCTTGGACGCTTCCACGTTGAAGATCTTCAACACTCCTTCTGCACGTCCAAACATTCATTACGAGATAAGGTACCTCAACGATTTTGCAAGTGACCCCACAGAGCCAGAAGACTTCCAGATCCACAACCTCGTCTCATGGCTCCAGTCTGTCCAGGCCCGCAGAGAGGCCGTCACTGGCTCTGCGCCCGCCACGCTTCCCCCGATATCTGGGATCATCTATGTGCCTCTCAGAACCGTATCCGATAAATTAGCCCCTGCTTTATCAGCAAGCTGGCCCGGCCGTATTCACGCTGTGGCTTACCACGCTGGCCTATCCTCCGAAGACCGTACGCGCATCCAGTCCGAATGGACATCATCTAAGTCATTCCCTCAGCATGCAAATAATGAGAACGAATTACCGGAACACCCGGCTTTTTACATTATCGTCGCTACTACTGCATTCGGTATGGGCATTGATAGCCCACACGTCCGCTTCGTTGTTCACTGGAGTCCGCCGCGGAGCTTCGAAGGCTTCGTTCAAGAATCCGGCCGCGCAGGTCGCGACGGTCATGCCGCCGCATCCATTGTCTACTACAACACACAAGAGCGAGATAGGATTCTTGATCGTCTGCAACGAGACATCGAGAACGCTCGCAATCGCACTGGCGCGCACATGAGCAACCAGAACAGCAAGGCACAAACCACCGTTCAGAATCAGCTTGCTCGACTAGCTAGCTTTCAGAAAGTGATCAGCTACTGTGAGAATACCACACGATGCAGGCATGACCTGATCAAGGATTTCTTTGGGGATTTCGAACTTGAGAAGATGGGTTCCCAAGTCCCTACATCGGGGATGAAAACTAATGGTTCCACTGATTCACCATGTGACTTTGCTTGTGACTTCTGCAAAGAAGGTTCTCAGACTCTTGCCCAGCGAAAGGCGAGAATGGCGCCCGAAAGCCACACAGACGACTTTGCCGACATGGACGTCCCGTGGTATATGCAAAAGATGTTCCCGGGGGTATTTTCCTGAGGTTGATCCTTAGAAGTTTGAGTATCTCTTATAGGTTTCATATATATTGCGGCAAGAATTTTCAACGATACTGGGGTATAGATACTGGCCATCTTGCTGGTCGACCACTGACACGACTATTCTTGTCAAGCCAGCGTACGCGAAAGATATCAGTATTACGGTTCAATACCGTCTGGAATGATTTTTTATACCCCCCAAAGAGGCGTGCACACATCCTACCAGAGCCAACGCATTGGGCAAACCAGATAATTCGCTAAGCAAAACAGCAAAGTTTCTTTTAGCTTCAGAAATGAGCGCAGATTTCCGGCTTTGCTCTACAGACTTTAGCAACACAGACCAAACCTCGGTTGAATAAGAACGAAAGAACGGACTAAAGGTACAGACAGCCTAGAGGCAGCTCGGTCGTCGATGGGGCTCACTGGCAGGCAGGTATCCATTGCGCCTGCATAGAGTCACCGTTTCATACTCGTGAATAAGCATAGCCTTCTTTGATTCTCTGCTTTGGGCTACTGCTATGGCAGCTTCCCAAGCATCACCTCACAGTCCTGGAGGGGGAGGGACCTAAATCGAGCAAAGCAGTTAATACTTGGGCTTGGCTAGACGACATTGAGTCGGCACATTGTACTTACAGCACTGTAGCTACCGCCGGGCGGAGGAGGTGGCGGAGAGCCCGATCCCGGAGGGGGAGGAGGGGGAGCCTCGCTGGCGGGAGGCGGCGGCGGCGGAGCGGGGCTCTGGGACTGTTGCTGTTGCTGTTGCTGCTGCTGCTGAGCAGCCGCCTGGTAGTACTGGTAGTAGGCAAGGTAATTCTGGTAACCGCCGTAGGCAGCATATGGGTCGGTTCCGTAATATTGAGCATACTGGGCGCTGTAGTCTGGAGTTCCGGTTCCCGAACCGCCAGCAGCACCTGCGGCTTGAGTCGACGGGCTGGCAGAGGTAGATGGCGAGTTCTGGTGATGGTTGCTACCATATCCGCCGCCGCCGCCACCACCTCCGCCGTAACCTCCGCCGTAGTGATAGCGGTCTCCGCGCTGGCCGCCATAACCGCCGTAGCTGTGCTGGGGTGGGTTCTCCTTGAAACGCTGGTACTGCTCGCGGACGTTGGCTAGTAGATCCTCACACAGGGCCTTTGCACTCTGGACATCATTCGGGTCGGGACCACTGCAGAATGAAAGTAATAAGCATCAGTACAAGCTGTTTCCGGTACTGCAGAACAGGAAGGGGTTGTAGGTGCGTTACGTACGCAACGTGCAGGAACATCGGCTCATCGCTTTCCCTGCCAGTACTGGGCTCCATGAAACCAGAACCACGGCCTTTGATTTGGACCTTGCAGCGAGTCTTCTGCTGAATATGCTTCACGTAGGCACCGCCTTGTCCGACGACCTGAGCGCGGAGGTTGAAGCCAGGGATCGGTTCGAGATCGACGGGGATGCGCTCCTCGGGCCATTTGCGCTGTAAACCATTAGTTGTCTAAAGACTTCTCTCTAGGGTCTTGTATCTTGAAAGGAAAGGACGGAGAGAGTAGCTGGTGCTGGCATTGTGTGAAGGACGTACACGACCGTACTCATCGCGCTCTACTTGCTCGGGTTCGCGACGACGGAACCGGCGCTCATCGACCAGGTTAGGGAGCTCTTTCTTCATGAGATCGTCGATCAAGGCGACGGCCTTTTCAAGGCCTTCCTTGTTTGTGCTCGTTACGTGGAGATAGAGCGGGGGGTTCTGGGCAGGGGTTGCATGTTAGTGATACTGACGGTCTGAATCAACAAGGGAGTTGGTATATGAACGTACCGCGGCGGTGGCCATGCTCTTATCCGGATAATAGTTTCCTCTCGTAGTGACATCTTGAAAAGAGAACAAAAATGATGAGCTTCCTTCTTGTAGTCAAACGTTTGATAATAATATGAATATGGAATGAAAGGCGTACCGGCGCCAGTTTCTTCTTTGATCTAAATGTCACGCAGCGGAGGTCAGCAGATGCAAATGAGGGCAAGTGTTGGGATGCTATTGCAAGATGTTGACTTGGGTAAGCTTTAGCCATAACCGCAAAACGAATTATTGGAGAAAAAAAAAAGGACAGGGTAGAAGAAACGAGGCCAAAAACGAGCAAGCAAAACCAAGCAAAAAGGCGCATGGCGAACGACGGAAGCCAGCAGCTAGCTTGACTTGCGACAAGTTTTGGGCTTTGGGCCTGGGCAGGATCAGCGGATGTATATAGGAGTAATTACCATCTTCTGAGTAGAGCCTTTGGTCAGCGTGTAACGGTTGCGCAAGTCATTAATCTCAATATCCTTGATATAGTCTCCATCAGCAACGTAGATCTCTGCGTTCAACTTTCCAGATGCGTCGCCGCCGGGAGGTGAGCCGGATGTTGGTACGGGGCTTGCGGTCTAGGTAGTGGAAAACAGGGTCAGTATATTGTGTTGTTCTCTGCGTTGCGACCAGCATAGGAGATGCTTACCGAGCGAATTGGAGGGACGTCGACATGTTGGATGCCCTTCTTCGCTTGCAACTGGGCGTTGATCTTTGCCGCAGCGGCAGCTGTGCGTATGACTCCAACGTTAGTTCTGCTGCTACACACAAGTTTCCTCTTGCCATTATCTCGAAAGGACGAACGTACCAGCGGCGGCAGCGGGATCGGTCTTCTTCGCAGGGTCTGCGCTAGGGCTCCGAGGTTCACGACTGAGAGGGCTGCGAGCTCGAGTCGATTCGGACTGTCGCGATGAGGGAGACCGAGAGCGGCGGTCGAAGCGCGACGGGCGTCGCACTTCCGGCTCGGTCTGATCAAAACGAGAGCGTTTCGAGCGGCGATCGTCCATAGTATCGGCAATGTAGGAAGTGAGAGGTTAAGAGAAGGGAAAGGGATAAGTGACGTCTAAGGTGAAAATGAAGGGCGTGAGGCAAGGCAGCAAGGTAGGCTCCGAAAAGGCCAAGATAAACTTGCCAAAGACTTTCGCAGGCGGTGGAGTTTGGAACGATCCGCCCCGGTTTGGCCGCTAAAGAGGACTCGACTCGAGATAGTTTAGTGGCCCAGCGAAAAAGTAGCAGAAACTAAGCAAGAAATGCCAGCCACGGGGGATGCCGAGCTGCCACTCCGGAGAACTTAGTAGCGGCCCTTTTGCGCTTGGGAACCAATAATAGGCCTAGTGTTTTAAGTGTGTGTAGTAAGTAGTGTAGTAAGTAGTTAGTCAGTAATATTTCCTTTGGAGAGATATTAGGCAGGTAGATGAACACAACAAAATCAATCGAACATTGCGTAAGATGCACTAGATGTATCTATAAGTTGATCAAATACCAAGTAGTAACCACTAGAAACAATAGAATCGATGAAGAAACGAAGATGCAAGCCCCGATCATGTGAGTTCACACAAAAACAACTAACCCCAAAACAGCCAAGCGTGCAAACACTATCTACTAGTAGTTCAGCATGTATGGTAAGTAACAAAATTGTCACGGGACAAACGAAATCCTTACCGCCGAGACTGAGTCAGCGCCCCGAGGTCGGAAGGCCGCCGCGTATAAAATGCAATGCGAAGTTCCAACACCTGCGGACTTTATTCTCCGCGACCCCAGAAAAGCCCTGCGAGGATCTCCGGACTTTGTTGCCTGCCACTTTTTCCCACAAAAGTGCAGGCCTTAATCCGTCGCCGGCGATCATGGCTTTCCGGCGTCCTTTGATGCTGTCAACGACAGCATCAACGCCTTTCCTGTCCGTTGCGAGCCGTACCTCTCGCCTGGGGGCAGCCTCCCGATTCAGCACCACCACTCGGGTCTCTTCCTCCTCCAGCTCGACCTCAGCCCTCGCCTACAAGGCTCTTCATCGCCGGTCTCCTCTCCCTCTCCCCGTCAACGATGCCTCGCCTCAATGGGACGCCCCCACGGCCGTTTCGTCCATTCTCTACGAAACCCCTTCCGTCCCCACCAACCCTCCCAAGCGCCATATCCTGAACTGTCTGGTGCAGAACGAGCCCGGTGTCCTGTCCCGTGTGTCCGGTATTCTGGCCGCTCGCGGCTTCAACATCGACTCCCTCGTTGTCTGTAACACCGAAGTCGAGGATCTGTCTCGTATGACCATCGTCTTGCAGGGTCAGGATGGCGTCGTCGAGCAGGCTCGTCGTCAACTCGATGACCTCGTCCCCGTCTGGGCTGTCCTCGATTACACCGACTCCGCTCTGGTGCAGCGCGAACTCCTCCTCGCCAAGGTCAGCATCTTGGGTCCCGAGTTCTTCGAGGAATTGCTGCAGCACCACCGCGAAATTACCACCCCCGGTGAGCAGACCGAGGGTCAGAAGGATAAGGCTGCGCAGGTTGCGAAGACCGAGTTCCACCCCCGTAATCTGCCCCAGTCTCAGGCTTTGAGACACAAGCATGAGCATTTGGATGCGATTACTCGTCTCACTCATCAGTTCGGTGGAAAGGTGCTGGATATCAGTACTAACAACTGCATTGTTGAGGTGTAAGTTACCCGCCCTCATGAGTCATACATACAATTTCCCTGAATCACTTGATACTGATGGTATATGATCTAGTTCCGCCAAACCCTCCCGTATCGACTCCTTCATGAAGCTCATCGGCCCCTTCGGTGTCCTCGAGTCCACCCGTACCGGTCTGATGGCTCTGCCCCGGTCTCCTCTCTTCGAGCCTAGCGAGGAGATCGAGAAGGACGCCGCTGACGTTGTTGACGCCAGCACCCTTCCCCCCGGTTAAATGTAATCGTCTGTGCGCTTTTACCTATCTATCTATTATTATTATCTATATCCCGCAATGTAAAAAGCACAACCACAATGTACTTCATCCGTTTCCTTTTGCAGGACTTGAGTTCCACCTAATAATATGTTGTAAATTCTCGCATTCAATGATTGGCTTGTACTCGGTGTAGAGTTGCAATGGGTTCATTTGAATCGAACAATATTGTGACTACAAATAGCATTACTTTCATTGAAAGCCAATAATACTCAATTCTGTATTGATAATGAATCATCCGTATCCTAGCGAACAGTCCAGTAAACCAAGTAAGAAACAGCCTAATTACTCCAACGTCAAAACGCCCGTTCTATTATTCCTAACGCCGGTTCAGATTGGATGAGAAATCGTTTCAAGCCCGCTTATGAAAATAATAACCCCAAAGAGCAAAAGAAAAGAGAGAAAAACTCCTAAAGTTTGACTCGCGCCTTAATTCCCTTTCCATGATAAAACACTATATCCCGATAGTGTTGAATCTGAACGCCGACTTTCGCCACAGCATCTAATCCAAGAGTGCCTCCTAGCGCTTTCTTCAGCGCATCATAGCCAATACCGCCGAGGTTTAAGTCCACAGGCAATCGGGGTGTGACTGAGATACCTGGCGGCACGGGGAACGGTACCCGGTAGTCGATGGTGCCGACTTCCTCGTCGCCTTCGTAGAACGCCTGCGCGTAAACCGAAGTGATGTCAATGGTGGTGTTAGGAAACGGTGAGGATAGTGTGAACTCGGCCGTCGATGACCAGAGGTGCATCTAGTAGCAGCACTCACGCAAGTTAGTCTTCCTCTTGTCTTGAACGGAGCGCGTGCTCCGTGGATGAATAAATGCCTCGTCATGGTTATGGTTATGATAAAGTGATGAATGTGTGGTAGTTTATATGCCATGTTCTGAGACGATATCTATGAAAGTAGATAATACCGTAGCTCCTTGGATGAACCCTTTTGAGTCATCATCAGGGTCGTCCCCGGCACCCGGGGCATGAGGCACGGGTACCCGAGGTATCTGGACCTCAAGCCCTAGTTTCGACAGCGCCTTCCCGAGTTTGGGTAGTCCCGGGATGGTTCCCTCATGTGTCCGTACTGTAACAGTTGTGTTGTAACCTGCGACTATGTTTAGGAATCGGAGATGGCAAAAGAGGCTCTCTCGAGCTTACCTGAAATATACTTCGAGAGCAGCTCCCGGCCAGCAGCGACGCCAGTCTCCCCATCCAAAACAAGTGGGCTCCATGTGAGGTCCACAGGAAGACCATCATTGGCGCCCGGGGTAATGGTAAGATCCTTTGCAGTGATATGTCCGACTCTAGAACCATTGAATAGAAGCAGAAAATCTACTGATGGCACAGATGCTGAGTACGGCGAGGGGTTGGTAACGTTGACCAAAGCCTTCACCAAAAGAGACGAGGCAGTAGTAGTTCCAAGTTCTACCGATGCAATATGCGGGCTTAATTTGTCCAAAGAGCCACCGTATGGGGCTACAGAAAGTCAGTCGATAGGCAAGGGTGTCAGCTAGGTATGACTTACGCTTAACCACAATCTCACCCTGCGCAGGTATTTCCCGAACAGCGAAAGTGCCCAGCCCTGTGGTGACTTCGGCATCTACACTGGCGGCAACATCTAGCTTGACCCGTTTCCCTTGGAAGATCAAGTCTTGAAGAACGTCGGTCAAGACATCTTCATCCGTCACTTCAAGCGGCGCTTTCTTGATCCCGAAATCGACGTATAGCGCCGGCGAGCCATCAACATCATCGAGCAGAGTGGAGTTGGCAGCCTGCCATTTCCGTAAGTTCAGGATCCCGAGCTTATTGCCACCGTAATACACGTCAGCAGTAGCCCGGACCCTGGGGACATCCAACTGAAGTCCCAATTCTTTGGGCAGCCCAATCAGCACCTTCACCAACGCAGATACTGTTGGCTGTGATTCAGGAGAATCGGGTTCCGCAAAGGGATCTGGCAGGGTGAAATGCACGTCCGACATTGTGAAGTTCCTGACGAGATTGTCAAGGGCATGCCCCGTGAAACTTAGCGGCACCGTCACGCTTTTAAGAATATCTACAACCCATCCAGGAGTAGCTAGAGAAGGCGGATCCGCTCCACGGACATAGACAGTGGTTCCATCTCCATGAATATAGCTCTTGACCAGGAAATCCAGAGGGGAGCTCTTCATCCCTGGACATACTCTGGTCAAGTCCTCAGAGAGTCCTTGGATTACGCCGGCGACATCAACGGATGTTGGCTGGCCAGGAGTAACCGGAAACCCGCGAGTCGTAGCAGCGGCTACCCGAATTGGGGCATCACCTGGAGAGCAATTCGGGACCAGTACTTCGAACCCCAGTGGAGGAATGTTCACTGCGAACGGTGAATCAAACTGGACAGCGGCTGAGGCATCAATTGCCATTGCGCCTTGCTGTCCTGGGTCTTCCGCATCATGGACGTTGAGATCCGTGATGTTGACAGCGGGCAAAGAAGGAAAGTCGCCCTCTAAATTTGAGTTAGAAGCATATACGACGAATCGGAATAATGTGGAACCAACCTTCAATGGTGAGGGAGTCGGAAAGGAGCTGCTGGCCCAGGCTGAGGAATCCCGATTTGATATCAAGGGTTGCTGTTCCTCTGACCGTCAGCTTCTCGAGCTTCCCATTCAACCAATCCAATGCCACGTTGTGAATTCCCTCGAAGTCCCCAGGCACAAAGTCTGCCAGGAAATTGACATGGTTTACATGACCATTTTGAATGTTGACCTTGACGGAAGGCAGGTTTGCCGTGCCTAGAAGAACGTTCCCATACTCTGGGAGATATAGTTCGACTTCCGACTGGCCGGATTCGGCCTCCCTTCCGATCCAAGTGACGAAACGACCAATGTCCCGCACTGGTTTCTTGTGTACGCGCCGCGCATCGAGCATCACGTCCCCTTGTATCCGAGCTTGAAGGCCATCTGCAGTGGCTGATTCAATCGAGACATTGGTGGGCTTAAAGACCACCGCCTCCTTGGCGTATTCCTTGACGGCCGCTGGGGCGATAAAGGCGAAAATGAGGATGGCGACTACAGCAGCCACTGTAAGGAGAGCACAGAAGATCGGCCATCGTATACGCCCACGGCGTTTCTTGAGCGTCCCATTGGAGGAGAGACTTCGAGGTCGGACAGACGACGGCCTCCTGGAGCCGGTCCCGCCGTATCCCAGGAGATCGTCATCGTGACGGACGAGGAGAGGGGTTGATTCAGAAGATAGCTCATACGGACCGGGCTCCGCATCTGGGTGATTGGAAGCTTTGCCAATGGACGTTGGGGAGCGATGAGGCGAGATAGGTCGTGGCTCTTGCTCTATCAGAGGCCGGCTTGCCTCCTCAGCCATGGTGGCTGGGCGCTAGGGAGCGGGGAGAAGATCAGGGTTGGGGGAACGACAGGATGGCACACTCCGAAGAGCAACTAGAGAGATGAAGACGAGATGTGGCAAGTTGGATGAAAGTGAGAGCTTGGCAGAGGGGAGGGGGTAATCGGAGGAAATAAATACGTAGCGGGAAGGCAAGAGAGAGGCAATGATGGGCTGAGGGAATGGCGTTGAAGGAGTGACAAGTTGACAGGGCAGAGTGATTGGGTACGTGGAGAGCATCCCGGCCAGTCCAGTTCCAGTCCGGCTGATCGTCAACGTAAGTAAGGCTGGTCCGGGCGGTGTGGGGATGGCTTTCATTCACTTTCTCCCATCGTTTATCAGGAAGTTCAAGGTGAGGCAGATTCTTACTAACTCATCAAATGATTCGATGATCTGCTGGAATCGGTAAGCCCCAGATCTTGTTGCTGCCCTACTCGGAGATTATCTGAATCATCCTGGGATTATCCAGGCAACCCGATTTACTTTGGTCGAGTCCCAACCAAATGCGGGCCAATAAGTAGTACCATTTCGCGTCGCTATAAATATACTGTCACGAGCTGCTTGGTAGGGGATTATAGACCTATTTAATCGATGTGGATTTCAAGTCAAATAAACTAGACTCAGAGTGGAGCTCTGATGTTCATGATTAATCTCAATAGACTGCATAAGCTGGAGTAGTGCGGTAACTAGATACTAGTCAACAATGTGGAAGGGGTCACGATAACGGACAACAGATAGCAGCGACCAGTTAGATAGATACTGGATGACGAGACACTAATGCCCTATCCATCCAACCATGCTTTGCCTCAATTAAGCTTATAATTAATTAACCTGTAGGCAAGAGATCAATGTCTTCAAGAATTTTCACACAAGGTTGTTGGAGTCCAAGTCATCCGGAAGTCATGAAATGAAATGCCCGCATTTTCACATGCCATTCCGCGCACGGGCGCCCCCTTCAAGCTCCAGCCGAAGGTGGTTCGATCTTCTCCTCCAACCCCGACGATCATCACGATCTGGGTTTAATAGCCCATTGTGCCCTCTCTCCATCTTCATCAATCTTCTCACCTTATTTGTCTCGAATACTTCCCCGCAAAAGATCTTCCGGTGACCCGTGTGGTCCTAACGCCCTCATGGATGTGAGTGAACCCTTGCCCCAGATCCACTCACACCCACTCACTAACTACCCCATCAAACATCAGTCTTCACAATCTCAAGGCGGGTTTCGATCACGCCGTTCATATCCCACCTTACACCATGTCTCTCTATCTCCACTAAACCCTCGATTTCCCATCGACGACGACGATACCGATGCCCCAGATTACTTCTCTCCTCGCCACGAAATCCCCGGCACCCCCAGCGCAACCAGGACCTCGTATCTCTCCAGTTTCTCCGTCCCCGGAACCCCAGGCGTCCTATCCCACTCTCACTCCCGTAGCGGGTCCCGCGTTCGTCGCCATTCCCGAAGCAAGAGCTCCACTCGCATCCATTCCAGCGACACCAATCTACAGTCCCGGAGCGTGGCCAGTCCACTCCATCATCAGCAGAATGAAGAGCTCCGTCGGAGCAGAACACGCTCCTCCCGGCGTCACCCCGATGCCGCCGCCCACCATCACAACCCAGACACAGAATGGATGCTCCGCGCAGGCATTGCCCTCGCATCCTCGACCCGCGAAGAAAAGGGTCAGAGCTGGCTCGTGAAACGCCAAAGCTCAACCAGCCTCGTGTCAGACAGCCATCAAATCGACCTGGACAGTCAACAGCAACAACAGCCATGGGCTTCACGGAGCAGCGCCCGTCGTTCTCAATCCGGCATATCCACACCTGCCGCCTACTCTCGTCGAGCCTCTCGCTCACGCCCAACAAGCCGCAGATCCAGCAGACCCGACCTGGCCATGACCAGCCTCGACATAACCCGGTTTTCCAGCAGACAAGAAAACCCCACTACGACCAGCAGCAGTGGCCTTCACACCCCCATCGAAGAACAAGCCCGTCACATGCTCCCTGATTTCGTGGACGAGCGCATCCGCGCCGAGATGGCAAACATAGCCGACGAAGAAGAAGATGAAGAAGACAACCTCAGCTTCACAACCACTTCGGACTCCCTCATTGCCTCCGAAGACGAAATCGACGAACAAGAATTCCAGCGTCTCACCCGTGAACGAGGCTTCGGACTCGGTAGCTGGATCGACCGAATGGTCGAATGGACCTTATTTGGTGTCGACGACTGGCCACTCTCCACAACGACAGCAACCACCGCACCACCGGCAGTAATATCAGGAGGGGCCATCAATCACGACCCTCAGTCTCTCATGCACGACAACATTCAATCCCAAGAAACAGACACCATATCCATAGCAACAGAGTCAGACATCGCTTCCATAAGCGAAGAGAAACCCGGAACTCGCGGCGGGTGGGAAGATGCCGGGTGGTTATTCAGGGTTGTGAAACGGGCATTGTCATGAACGGAAAAAGGAACACGAAACATAACAGGACTAATTTCAATACTTTTACTTCCATTATTTATTGTATATCTTATCTAACCATGGATGGATCCCCTCTCTTCTCTAGGAGAATACAATCACCACTAATAGCGAGGTATATATTTATACATATAGAGCAACCAATAACATCAAATAAGTAGTAAGCATGAGCATTGAAGCTGCCTATGTAAATACTTACCTAGTAGTAAGTAAGCCAGCCCAAGACAAGGGTTACTACTTACTACATGGTGAGTTCATCATTTCTTGATTTCTCATTCCTGCACGACGGCCTACGAACACGTAAGTGCATACGTAAACCCCTCCCCCCTCCCATGCTGACATGGCCAGTTAGTTACTTTCATTCAATCGTGGTTAGCGTACCAGCGGGTTGATACGTTGATAGCCGTCTACTAGTAATCACGTAGTTAGGGAGGGTAAGTTGTCCACGGTGTCTGTTTCATTGAAAGTTGCTATTGAGTTTTAAGTACTAAGTATGGGATGGATAGTACCGGTTGTGGAGTATGTACTATCTGTCGTAATTATGTTGTTCATCTACTACTAGTAGCTGAAGTACTAGATAGTTACAGTTGCTTGATGAATTGATGTGGGTATATGATATAGTAGTCAGTTTACTACTATTATAACATACTAGTATTAGTAGGTACTACTGCGTACAAATTACTCTACTGCCAGCCGAAGTTGTATTGCTAGAGCGAGGTGCATCATTCGAATTGTAAGTGTAGGCGATGGAGTGGGCCTAATCTTAAGGGAGTTACTGGTTAGGCAAAATATATATCTGCAGTACGAGGTGGGTTTCCCAGTTGTGGAACATTAGCAGAAGGAGGATGAATGATCATAGCACAAGGATGTAACGAGAGTATCAGTTGGTTGATAACCCGAGACGGCTCGGGAGGGTTGGTTCTCGTGGTATTGTGACTATCTGGACAATGATGCTCCCTTTTGTTCTTATGCTTTACTGACATGTAGTGTAACCCGTCCCACCAAATGAAAGAGGCCTCCCAAAACCCGAAGAAGAATATACCTGACACCAGTGATATTAAGGGGAAAATAGTAAAGGGTATACAAGATAGGGCAAAGACAAGGAAAATGCAGCTAGGCTGAAAGAATGAAGCGGTTTTTTTCCACGGCGGTTCGAGTATATATCGCCGAGACAGAAGAAGAACACATGAAGTGGAAGGAAATGATGATAGAAAGGAATGAAAGAATGTACCATGCTCGGCTGTGACAATGCAGAATCATGGTGCAATTTTGGGACGAAATGAAGGATCCTGGGCCTTGATCTGACAATCTAGAAATCATGGGGTTGGCGTCCAGAGATATGACACAAAAGGGGAAATAGGAAAATAAAACGAAAAAGAATATGTTTGCTTGCACACAGTAAACGCCAAGCTGACCCTCAACTCTAGTTCATGCAGTAGGTAGTCGTGATCGTATCATACGTGGACGTGCACGGTCGAGGATTCGGACAGAGCCCTAGAAGTTGTAGGGCGGGTGAGAGTGTCGCGAAATTGATGTGATGGTTGGAAATGAGGATAAAGGCGGATTGCGGTTGTCGATGGCTGACCGGATTCACCATGGCCCAACCTTGACGGGGGTACCGAGCCCGTATGTGCCCGACAGGAGTTGCTCCCGGATGGACCCAAGGTCATTGCCGCCTGGGCTTCCATAACCTTGGGCATCCGGTCTGTGCATCCATCCTAAACTGGAACCCAGCTCGTTGACGGCTGCCTGCAGTTTACCGCCCGAGTTGTGATTGTGCTTCGCCAACTTCTGATCCCAACCACCGTACTGTAACTGAATTCCCCCTCCACGCTTAGCTGCCTCCCGAATCACCAGAATCCAAGCCTTGCAGATCTCGTCGTATGCGGAATCCCGCTCGAGGTTGTTCTGTGGTGTACTCCAACGGGGCAATGCGTGAATTATGTCGGTCGCACCATCCAGGTAACTCAAAGAAACAGACGACTGCGTCTCGTGAGGTGGTAAGAAGTGTGGAGTGAAGTCGCTCAAGGCATCTAGAAGATTTCCCAGTGGTTGTCGGACACGATTGTATGCATAATCTGATTCGGAGTTGCCACCGAGTGGGAACGACGACTGGAGGGCGGATTCGTAATGTCGAAGGACTTGAAGGGCAGATGCCACACTGGGTCGAGGTGCTGTGTGGACTACTTCATCAACCAAACCGGGATGACGCTCACACACAGTCCGGAGGATGCCCCGAAGAGCGTCTGTGTCCAGGGTCTCCAGCAGTCGGGGGAGAGCGAGAGGCCGTCCGCTGACATTTGGACGAGCACGCTTGATGTTTCGGTTTACTGGAAGGGTTCTCGGAGTCAAGGCGGGAGAGTTGGTAGGTGACGCTGACATTCGACCATCGTGATCATTCTCATCGTCGGCTTTCCGTTTGCGGTTGTTGGGAGTGTGAATGGGAGTAGACACTGATATCAGTCAGTCATCAAAGGTCATATAACAAGGGAGTCACCATCGAATGCACTGGAGGAAGATGGGGCAAGACTTACTTGGACGGGAGGGAGAAGGACGGGAGTATTCGTAAAAGTGATGAGGAGGCACAGGTGGTGTAGCCACCAAGCTGTTCATGATGACCACAAACAGCTGGATGGCAAAGGGAGAGGGAGGGGAGGGAGAGAGGTAGCGAGAGATGACGGGGGGGAAAGCAGAGATGGAGGGACCAAAGGTCAGCCAGGAGCACGAGGGAAAATATCAAAGGGAGGAAGGATAAGGAAAGCGAACAAGCAAGGGAAAGACGGAGTGCAGGATGAAGGATGAAGGGGAGACTTTCTGAAGTGGTGGGGAAAGAGAGAGAAAGACTGAGCGAGAAGCGGTGGACAGGCGGGTTGCGGGAGGCAACGCGGGCCTGAGATGCATTTCCCGCGGATCCATGACTCTGACTTGAAAGTCTGTGACTGCTCTTTCTCCTTTGCCCTTTACCCACTTGCCTCAATGTGATCCACCCATTTCCACCTTGGAATCCTACCCTCTTCCTCCCTCCTGATTTGTGGCAAAAAAACCATATTATCCCAGGCTCTGCGCCTGCTGCATCTAACCTGGCCCTGCTCTGCACCACTTACAGCTCCCCAAGGTCCGCATGACCCCAACTCATCAAGCGTCAACTCTAAAACCGCCCGATAAACGGAGCATCTTGTCAACGACTGAAACAGTCAACCGGACTGTTCCATCGCGTGGTCGTCTTGGGATACGGGACCAACCATTTATCAATATCCCCTGATGCTACCATCATTTTCATAATTTCACATTTGCTCACCCAAGCTCGCAATATCCTTTCAACATGCTGTGCTTCTCGAACAGGTTACATGCTAACCCTGTGACGCTGTTGTGACTATGTCTACGTCTGCAGTCTCAAATTTCTGCCACCCCGGATTGACATTCATCTGCACTCCTTACCCCAGAGCAGGAATGATCCTCAAGCTGTAACCTGGTCAACCTTGCAGAAAACGAACCCTTGGGGTCTTGATTTAGTGGAACATTGAACTAACGTTGTCCAGCTACCCTGGTATCCGGAACTGGGTCTTATCAGCACTGCTCGGGTTTAGTTCTGCTGCCTCCGTAGTCTGCATATATGTCTATACGTCATTGGAACTGACCCAACACCTGGCTATAACATTAGTCTCTGACTACGAACTCATATACTGAACCCAGAAGATCCCGCAACGGATTTACGGTCCAGTGCCATGAAACTTACCAGTAACGTCCAGAGAAACGCCTCATTTGCGGTATCTGGCAATGAAAATGTGCTCATCTGAAACATATTCCCGTTGAACACAGCATCATGGTAACCTCACCGTATTCCAGACATTCTCATTGAACTATCCCCAAGCCACCCGGTTGACAGGTCGGCGATGGACAGGTCTGACACTTGCTCGTGTCTGGACTGTTGGTCTGGGGTTATCTTCCAACCATCTGAGACCGTGTCAGGTCGTAGCAGGTCCAAGAAAATCCCTATGGCTTACTGCTGCAAACGACAACACCGAAAGCATAGACCCCTGGCTCTGGACTATCTGACATATGATCAACCATTTGTAGAATTGTATCACTTAGTGCCAAAGGCTCTCAGTATATCCTTCATATGAGAATAAAGAATGAGACCGAATCCACACAATAGCACAGCCAATCTCAAAAGAACCACAGGAAAACAATATTGCGCCTCCACCCAACACGCATAGTAAAAGCACATATTAGCACCAACCTTCCCTACTATGATCACACGATTGAGACGAAGTAAAGCCCCCAATCAACCAACCCATAATCCCAATCAAAAACGAAGCCAACGCCCAGCAGTGTCAAGCACGGAAAACCATGATCCAAACACAAAGAAAACGCACATACATACCCTGGCAGTCAACATTAAGAAATCTTTCTATTTCCCCGGTCGTTCGTACCACAAATACAGAACGGGGGTAAGATTACCGGTCGTTGGCTTTATTTTAAATGAACCGTGTCTGAGTCTGAGGGTGTCATTGGGGTGCCTAATCACCACCACTCCTCACATATATGCACATGGAACAGCAACGGAGCCGATTTCTGGGAACGGGGTTGCGTTTGAAGATGGATAAAATGTATTCAAAATAGAAGGTGACACTATGTGGCATGGGTACTACTGGATACAAGTCTAGATAGATGGAAGTGGATGATGATGATGATATGAAGCCTAACTGAAACTGTCGCTTCTTGATGTAGTCTAGAAATATTGTGTACATCTGATGGGACTCAGGTAACAGAAAGCAAGTAGGAAAAGTAAGATGACAAAGGGAGTGAGATATCTCATTTACAGATAGTAAGAAAAAGTAACGAGCAACAAAGCCAAATCCTTTTTGGGAAGCCTGACGCCAGAAAAATGCGACCACCCAGACATACCGCGCAAACCATCCTTTACAACAGAGGTGATGATGATGATGATAAATGAGGAGGACAAAACTGACCCGAGGGAGAAGATAGATAGATACAAGAACTACTAATGATAGGTAGCAGCAGTACCTTAGAGATACAAGGACTGGGCAGCGACAATGTCCCTGCGCACCTTGGTCAAGGCTGTCTCGAATTTACCCTCTAAATCTTCGCTTCCCATGACCTTGGCTGCCTGCGCCATCTGTCGGAGACACTCTTCCAATCGGCGGAAGACGCGAATCAAACTGCCTTCGTAGACGTCGGTCATTTTGCTGCATTAGGGAGAAAAAGAACCAGTCAGCAAGCTAATACTACCACGGAAAAGAAAAAAACGGCCGCGAATGGTGGTCATTAAAACTTACCAGATGTCAGCAAAAGACTTGCCGTTCGCCCATTCGAAGATGACCTCCATCAACTCCCAGTGGAAACCTTGCACGTATTCCTCCTCGTTGACCGCCAACTTGGACTCCTGGGAGACCTTGGCGACGATCCGAGCTTGCGCTTGGATCTCCCTGAGGGGCTTCGCGAGGTCTTCCCGTGTCAGAGCAGGGGTCTCCTTGGTCTTCTCTTCAAAGACGAAGACGCTCAGGGCAGATGCCACTTGCTCCGGCGTAAGGTTATTGAAGAAACCGTTGAAGAGAAGTTCACTGAGCATCAACTCGTCACCTGTACTAATCTCACAGGCAACGCGCGCCTTCAGTTGTACAACTTCGGCCTCATTGATGAATCCGAATCGACGAAGCACTCGCTTACGGCATTTCAGTTCTTCAAGTTGCATGATTGCCATGGCATCCGAGATCTTCTTCTTGGTCTCCTTGATCTTGGTTCCCAAATCCACCTTCTCGGAGTACTGATTGTATAGTTCGGGTAAACGTGGCGACTCGTGCAGGGGATTGGAGAGAAGACGGGACTCCAGAACCTCGATTTTCTACAACGTCAATTAGCCAACAGTGTCATTTCTTTTGTGAAGTACTGGATACTTACCCTGAGCGTCTTTTTGAACTCGTCATCCTTGATACCCATGTTCTCAATAGGGTCAAGAGTGGCAATGCCATCCGGGAAGCGCTTCTTCACTTCCTCCAGGGTGTTCTTCAGGTTGTTCCGTGTGTCATTTGGCTTCAAGTCTTTGGGAAGACGGAGGCAAACGTGGGCAATGCTCTGGATACAGCTGAGAACAACCGGCACGACCTCCATGCGGGATTTTTCATCCTCCTTGGGTGGTCTGACGCCAGCTGGCAGGTCCTCGAATGACTTGGTGCCCACGGAATCTCCGTCAGCAATGTTGAGGAGCACATCCACCACATGTTTCTGATGATCGTTGTACTCTTCAGTCGCATTCTTCGGTGGCTTGCGATGCTTCCAATTGACAACGATACCCCACCCAAACTCCATGTCCTTATGCTTGATTTGAACCAAGCGCCCGGGCGTCATGTATGACAGGCAATGCTCGGGATGGCTCATCACTGCTTGCACATCATCGCCGAATTTGCGGAGCTGTTTACGCAGATCGTAGTATTCGCGGATGGTTCCTTCGTCAGGAATGTTGAGATTGGCACGCTTCTCTTCCATTTCCGTGAGTTCTATAGCACAGTTAGCAAGCGGCTTTCGATGAAGCAGGGTATAAGGACGCACGTTTCTCAAGCTCTGCGACACCGGCGGTGTTCTGGAATTGGTAGAAACACTTCTCCAACATGAACTCAGGTGAGATGCCTTCCACACGCATGAGGTTAAGAATCATGTTGTAACCCAAATGGAAAGCCGAATTGAGTCGATCCTGTTCACCACGGACGATTTCCTTCGCCACGGCGGGGTCCATCTCCTCACCGACCATCATGATAACGATACCGCGATCATCAAGACCTCTTCGACCGGCACGGCCAGACATCTGGATGAACTCTGAAGGCGTAACCCAACGCTGGCTGAAGCCGTCGAATTTCCGGACGCTTGTGAAGACGACAGTTCTCGCAGGCATGTTGAGACCAATAGAGAACGTCTCAGTGGCGAAGAGTACCTTGATCAGACCTTCCTGGAAAAGAATCTCAATCGTCTCCTTGAGGATAGGGAGCAGACCAGAGTGGTGGACACCAATACCTCTGCGAAGAAGAGGCAAGATATTCTGGATTTGGGGCAATTCCCTGTCCTCCTCGGACAACATTTCGATCGCGCTGTCAAAGACCTTCTGAACCATCTCTTTCTCAGAATCGTCGTTGAAGGCCAAGTTCTTCATCTGCAGAGCACAGCTCTCACATTCGCGCTTGCTGAAACTGAACACAATGACAGGGTTCAGGTTCTTGAGCATGACCATCTTCACAATCTTGAAAATGTCGCTCTTTTCCTGGGTGCCGCCCTTGTTCAACCTCTTGTCCTTGCCCTTTCCTTTCCGCTTGGCCATCGCATCTGACGGGTCGTCGCCCCTCTTGTCGGCGATACTGCTCATGGCCTTCTGGAAATTCTCCTCACGGAATACTCCTTTCTCATCCACAACAAGATGCATACCTTCCGATCCATTGGGGAAGAAGTAGTGTTGTAGTGGCGTCGGCCGGAAATCGGTATAGACGACGTGGCAGGGTTGGTTGTGCATCTTCGTTACCCATTCGGCGAATTGCATAGCGTTAGGAATGGTGGCGGACAAAAATACATATCGAACCTTGTCGGGCAACAAGATAATGGTTTCCTCCCAGACAACACCTCTGACTATAGCGTAGATTAGTACCCAGTAAACTAAGGCGGAGATCGGTTGGACATACTCGCATCACGCATATAGTGGATCTCGTCGAAAATGACCCAGGCAACTTCGCGCATAATCTCAGAACCCCGGTACAGCATGGACCGCAAAATCTCAGTGGTCATGACCAGGCAAGTGGCTGTTGGGTTGATGGTAACATCTCCAGTCATCAGGCCCGCATCTCCAAATTCCTCGGCAAACTCTCGGTACTTCTGGTTACTCAAAGCCTTGATCGGACTCGTATAGATAACTCTTTGGTTGTTCTTCAAACATTGCGCAATGGCGTACTCGGCGACCACGGTTTTTCCGGCACTAGTATGAGCTGAAACCAAGACACTTTCTTCTCTCTGGATCGATGCAATCGCGACCTGCTGGAAAGGATCCAAAGTGAACGGCCACACTCTGGCAGGGGTCTCCGGCGGCTTGTGTTCGGAAATGGGCACGTATGGGTACTTCGGCGGGATGGCGACCTGATGCCGCACCTGGTGGGACAACTTGACAGAGGTAGAATCGTTGACGCCCTGAAGGCCTGCCGATCCCGCGACTTCGCGCTCCTGCTCAGTCTCGAACGAGTCCGCTACCACAGGCTCCGGTTCCTTCTCGAGGCGCGGGCGTTTCGCATCCGGTTGTTCATTGTTGTCGGCGGCGGGGCTTTCTTCGTCCTCCTTCGCTTCATCGGCTTCTTCTTCGACAGCAGGCGCATCCGTGATCTCAACATCCTCAGGGGTTTCCGTAGGGGTTTCCGTAGCAGCACCGTCCTCCTTCACGTCGCCATTGACCTGTCGCTTCTTGCTCTTGTCTTTCTTCGCTCGTTTGGGAGCTCCGTCCGCAGGCCGAACGGCCTGAGGCTGGTCCTCGAAGACGTCGAAAAGCTCATCCATCGTCGACAGTCTGCCACAAAGGACGCGGGAACGCAAACTGGCCTGGACGGGTGGTTGACGTTCTGCACCGTCTCACAGAAGAGCGATCGCACCGAGAAATTTCAATGAACCCGTGAAGGGAAGCGGCGTGTGATTGGCCCAGACCTCTCAAGGCGGTGAATGGCTGCCGGCGAAACTTGCCGTTCGGAATAGTGAGTCACGTGAGCGGACAGCCGGGGAGCAGCCGGGAGTATCGTTCCACTCGACTTGCTCGCACCTCCGCCCGTTGATATCAGTAGGATTGTCTCGACCGTCGTGCTTCTCTGCCTCATTCAAAGTGGGTGAAACCCATTGTTTTCCATATCCCATCCAGTCAATTGCCTCTAACCCAGCTCAAGATGTACGCTGCTACCGCCCTCCGCGCCAGAATGGCCACCTCCTTCGTTGCCCGTCGTGGCTTTTCCACCACCCGCGCTCAGCTCGGTAGCCCTTACCACTACGCCGAGGGCCCTCGCTCCAACATTCCCTTCAACCCCCTGACCAAGTACTTCTTCTGGAGATACTGGGCTTTCATGGGTATGTGGCCCAATTGGGTGCTGTGATCGTTGCGAATCGGACGTCTTGCTGACTTGCTTACTCTAGTCACCGGTTTCGGTGCCCCCTTCGCCATTGCTGGTATGTTACCATTCGTCTTGCGGCAGTTTACGTTCGTCTATCTAACATATCTATTCCTACAGTCTGGCAGACCTACAAGACCCGCTAAACGCTCTCTCGTGCTGTATTTCCACATGCAATGGCATTGTTGGGCATTGGCGGCTGGTCGAAAATGTATCCTACGTTGGAAGCGCTCGGAATTTGTGTATAAAGCTAGAGAATTTATTATGCTCTGATTCAGGAAATTCCTGGGGTGAAATTCACACCAAAAACATTTGTAGTTGGGGGACGAAGTGCGGTGTGGTATTGGTTGTCTGATGCCTTATTAGAATATGGATGAAGTCATTGGTCGATTTTTTGTCAGTAGGAAAATTAAAATCTTTGGCTCGGCTTCTGATATGATATTGTTCGCAATTCCGTGGGCGACGCGCGTGAAGGAAAATAAAACCTACGCTTGCAAGATCTAATAATTAACTCTATGAGAGTAAATTTCCTCTAGATATTATTTTTGCATTTTCCCTTTTCCCCGTTCATTCTTTTTCCCCAGTGAAGCTTCCGTCGATTCATGGCGGCGGGGTAGAACACTACTCTTCAAAAGATGCGCAACCTCAAAATCGTGCGCCTCGCCGAGGTGCAGCTCCAGAATGAGCTTCCTTTGACAGCAACAGCTTGGGATACAGCTTCAGATGCTGTCGTTTGCACATTTGGACCTTCTGCGTCCCAGCCAGTCATAGAGCTCCGCAGAAAGCGTCATGACGCCTATTTTTCGGACCCCGTAGGGGCGGATGCATTTGAAATCATCGCATCCTGGGATGCGCCATGCCCACTACCAGATCTGGAATGCGACCGGGTGCTCTCCCTGCACTACTTTGCTGACAATCTCACTGCCTGCCTGGTGCTGGAAGGAGGTGACATCGTCATTGTCCGTGAAGAACCCCTTCCTGGCGAGGACAAGATTGAGATTGTGGGTACTGTTGATGTTGGTATCACAGCTGCTGCATGGTCCCCCGATGAGGAGCTTCTGGCCTTGACTACGAGAGCCAATACTTTCCTTTACATGACGAGGGAATTCGAAAATGTTGCCGAAATTACTTTCACGCAGGAGGACCTCCGCGCCTCCCAGCATGTCTCTGTGGGCTGGGGAAAGCGCGAGACCCAGTTCCAGGGTAAGCGTGCTAAGGCTCTTCGTGATCCTACTGTCCCCGAGAAGGTGGACGAGGGTAAGTTGAGCGCCAGCGATGATGGAAAGACGACCATTAGCTGGCGTGGTGATGGTGCTTATGTCGCCGTGAACAGCATCGAAGCTGGCGTTCGACGTGCGATCCGGGTTTACTCGAGAGAGGGAACCTTGGATAGCATCAGTGAGCCAGTGGATGGACTGGAAGGTGCCCTTAGCTGGAGGCCTTCTGGCAACCTTATCGCCGGTATCCAGCGCCGCGAAGATAGAATTGACGTGGTCTTCTTTGAAAGGAACGGCTTGCGCCATGGAGAATTCACTCTCCGCCTGACGGAGGAAGAACGGTCGACATGGGCTTCGAATATTCATCTGAGCTGGAACGTCGACTCAACGGTGCTTGCGGTGCAATTTCACGACAGAATCCAGTTCTGGACAACCGGAAACTACCACTACTACCTCAAGCAAGAGATTCCAATCGGCGTGAATGCCGAATATCCGTATCCGTTCTCCTTGAAATGGCATCAGGAGAAAGCTCTACGATTTATTGCTGGAGCTTCAGGTAATTACCAAGTTGGACTATCTTCTTAAGGTATATTCTCTAATCTGTTACAGGATCGATGTTGGATGTGGACTTCGTTTTCGACGTATCCCAGGGATCCACTACCAGCCCCGATGATGTTGGTGCAGTTGCTGTTATCGACGGCAGTAAGTCTCTTCACCATATATATTCGGTCGAATCTTTTCTGACTTCCAAAGAATTTCTCAAATTGACTCCTCTGAGGCTGGCGGGAGTTCCTCCTCCTATGGCTCACAATGAGCTGACACTAGACTCGAACATTGTTGATGTGGCATTCAGCAAGTCAGGAACGCGGATGGCTGTTCTTATGAAGGATCGGTTTTCTATCTTCCTCTGGTCTCTCAAAACGAGACCTGTTCCGTCCCCAATCCTCGAGTCGAGTTATCCGTTGTCAGATGCGCCTGATAGCCGGCCTCGACAGATTGCCTTTGTAAACGAACATGAAGTTTACATTCTCAAGGACGATGGCCCGAACAACACCCAAATTGAACGCACTGCTTTGGAGACACGCACGACTCAGGTTGCTTATCAGGCAGCGGATTCGGAGCAAATACTCTCAATGTTCACTTCCCTCGGACACGAAGCCCTGTGGTTCTCTCACGTTAAGGCGCCTAACCAGCCGGTCACTTACTCCTATGTCTCCATGCCTTCTCCCGATGAGTTCCAGATCCTACCTTGGCTTGAAAGCCCAACAGTTGATACATACTGGGCTAAGGCTGCACAGATTTCTGAGGATGAGGTAAGCCCTTCTCAGGACTTAGAAAACGTTCATAGCTAACTTCTTGAAGCATGTTCTGGTCTCCATGACCAGGTCCGGGGCCCTGTATGCCAATAAGCGACTCCTTGCGAAGAACTGCACTTCCTTCCTTGTAACTCAGGCCCATATCCTGTTCACAACATCCCTTCACCTGATCAAATTTGTGCATTTGACTACGGTGGAAGGTGAGATATACCGACGATCTATTACTGCTAACATCGGCTAATCTAATTTCACAGAGATGGACATTCCTCCGGACACCCCCGAAACGGATGAACGGTGCAGAAGCATCGAACGTGGCGGACGTCTAGTGACTGTGATGCCCACAACCTTTGCTGTCATCCTGCAGATGCCTCGTGGAAATCTCGAAACCATCTATCCCAGAGCTCTCGTTCTGGCCGGTATCAGAAACTTCATTGACCGCAAGAACTATCGGGCTGCATTCTTGACCTGCCGTAGTCAGATGGTGGATATGAATATCATTCACGACTATGCTCCGGAGCAGTTCATGGAGAATATCCAATTGTTTGTGGATCAAGTAAAGAAGATTGATTTCATTGATGAGTTTATCTCCCGTCTTAGGTATGCAAAACAACTTGTCCTTCAAGGCATACTGGCTGATTACTTTCAAGTGAGGAGGATGTTTCCCAGACTCTCTACAAAGACACCCTGAAAACGCCCAAGGCAGACAACGCGCCGGCCGGAATTGTTGCAGCAGCACCAAACAAGGGTAGCAAAGTCAACAGAATCTGCGATGCCTTTTTGTCTACTTTGGAGAAGCGCATTGACACCAACCTGCACAACCTGATCACTGCGCATGTCTGCAAGTCGCCACCAGATCTCGAGTCCGGTCTGCAGTTGGTTGCACGCTTGAGGGGTTCGTACTCCAAACTCCCAATTTTCCTACTCAATACTTACCTCTCCTGCAGAACAATCGCCCGAACAGGCAGACGACGCAATCGAGCACATGTGCTTCTTGACGGATGCTAACCAGTTGTACGATAACGCGCTGGGGCTCTACGACCTCGAACTCACCCTGCTCGTCGCCCAGCAAGCCCAACGGGTGAGCTAGCATCTGTATCCCAACCCCCACAGCATACTAACTCACCGCACTAGGATCCCCGGGAGTACCTACCGTTCCTGCGCAAGCTGCAGCAGCAACCCGAACTTCGCCGCTACTTTGAGATCGACAACTACCTGGGCCGAACATCCAAGGCGATTAAGCACCTGCACGCTCTGAACGCCCACGATGAACTCCGCGCCTACACAATCAAGCACGTCCTCTACAAAGACGCCATCGACCTCTACAAGTACCAAGCGGAGCAACTGCGCGAGATGACCCACCTCTACGCCGACTACCTCTTCGACCGGTCCAAGTACAAGGAAGCAGGCATCGGTACGTACCCAACAACCACCCCTTACCCCCAGTCCCCACCCACCGAACTAACCACCTCCTCCCATACAGCTTACGAATCCCTCGAACTCTACACCGATGCCTACAAGAGCTACCACCTCGCCCACCTCTGGCGCGAATCCCTCTACTGCGCAATGCTCGTGCCCCTCACATCCACGGAGCTAACCGCACACGCCACGGCCCTGATAAGCACCCTAGTCGAAGAATCCAAAGACTACACCTCAGCGGCAACCATCCATGCGGACCACCTGCACGACATTCCCGCAGCATCGCGTCTCCTCTGCCGAGCTTCCAAGTTCTCCGAAGCAACACGTCTCCTCACCCTGCACAACCAATCGGCCCTAATCCCCGAGATAGTCGACAGCGGTCTCGCCGATTCAATGGGCAGCATGACCGACCTGCTCGCGGACTTCCGCTCGCAACTCAACGCTCAGGTGCCTCGGATCCGCGAACTGCGCATCCGCCGCGCCACCGACCCGCTGGCCTACTTCGGCGGAGACCCTACCCTGGGCGACGGCGCCGCGGGGGTGGATATCCCCGACAATGTGTCATTGGCGCCTACTGACGCTTCGACATTGGCGGGCCGGTCCATGTTCACGCGGTACACGGGCAACACGGGGAAGACAGGGAAGACGAGTTCTTCGCGGCATACGTCGAAGACGCGGAGGAAGGAGGAGAGGAAGCGTGCGCGTGGTAAGAAGGGGACTGTGTATGAGGAGGAGTATCTGGTTAATAGTGTGAGACGGTTGTTGGAGAGGGCGAATTCGACGGTCAGTGAGGTGGAGGCGCTGGTTGATGCGTTGTTGAGGAGGGGAATGAGGGAGCGGGCGGTGGCGGTGGAGAAGGCAATGAGTGAGGTGTTGAAGTTGTGTAAGGAGAGTCGGGAGGAGGTGTTTGGAGCTTTGGTTGCTGAGGCTGTGGGTGGTGCTGATGGGGAAGGTGCTGGTGATGCTGGAGAGGGAGAGAATGGAGCTGCAGCTGCATTTGGGGAGGATGGAGTGCCTCATGCTACCGGGGGACAGAGTGTGTTTTGGGATAGTGTTACCGCTACGGCGAATGTTGGAAAGGGGAGGGAGGTGCCGGCGGTTAAGGAGATTAAGTTGTCGGCTTTGTTGAATTGAGGGGGGCTCTCTCTAGGTATTATTGCATTTGATAACGTTGTTGTTCTTAGGTTTCACCAAAAAGTCATACATAGATCATTAAAAATTTTCTTGAAATCCGTCATGTGTTTGGGTTTATATTATTAAATGTGTATGGGAGAAGAAATGTTGAAGTGGCCCGGAAAAAAAAAGATATCTATGTTATATAGAGCGACGATAACCTCTTCATCGTCCGCGGTGCTAGAAGGGCTGATAGTCTGGGAAGTTGCGCAACAAAATGCAAAGCATATGGGTATCTTGAGGGTTTCCGATGTGTGCGGGGACCCTCTGTTCGTTTAGTTGCTGGTGTTCCAACCATCCCAGAATGAGATGGAGCCTCTAAGCAGAAAGGATGTCGCCCTTTTCACTGACAAGATGCTGATCCACCGAGATAGGACCCTCGCCAACACCGGTCAGGATCACACGGCTCACACCATCCTGGAGCGATTCCACGGTGCGGGGGTCCACCTCATCCAGGGACACGCCGGGGGTGGTAACGTCCTTCAGGGGCGTGTAGAAGGGACCTTCCCAGCCCTCCGCCTTCTCACCGAGGATAGCCTTAACGGTACCGGCAACAAGCTCGGTATCCTTCTCAAGGTAGTAGATGACAGCGTTCGGGCCCGCATCGTAGGTGTAGGCGCAGACGGTCCGGCCGACGGCGCGGTTGATGTCATGGACAAGTCTGACGGCAGCGCGAGAAACGTCGTTCATGTAAAAGATCGGAGGCCATGAGTCCAAGCAAGTGGCGTGGAAGCCGTTGGAGTCGCGCATCGTGATCTCTGCGAAGGCGGGGAAGTCACGGTTCTGAATGGCGGTCTCGATGGCAGCCATCCGCTCCGGAACAACAATGTTCGCCCGGGTAGCAAAGAGGTTCGAAGTAGCGACGGTCGTCTGCATACCCTCAGTGCTGGGAACATCCTTCTTTGCGGCACTGACAACCAGGATGAGGGCACGCATTTCAGGCCAGTGAGACTGCGGCGCAACCTCCTCTGCCAAACTGTCGCTTCCATCCTCCAGGGATCCGGCGCGCCAGGCGACATAACCACCCATCAGAGAACGGCAGGCAGAGCCAGAGCCCTGACGAGCGATGCGGCTCAGATCACGGGGCGACTGGGGCAGCTGGTAAAGGTCTGCCACGGCGCGAACAAGGGCCGCAAAGCCGGCAGCCGAACTGGCGAGACCGGCGGCAGTGGGGAAGTTGTTCTCGGAGACAATGCGGAGAGGGAAGGTGGACAGCTTGGGCAACGAGGGGTTTGCATCCTCGAGCTCACGACGGTGAGCGCGAAGGCTGGCCAGACAAGCAAGTGTACGCTTGGAGGATTGGATGTCTTGGGGCTTGCCGTTCAGGGTGAGCTCGTCCTTGGCGGGGTAAAAAGGAGCGCAGGAAGCGGTGGTGAGAGTGCGGAGGGAACGCTGCGAAAGGGTGACGGAGAGGGAAGAGTTCGTAGGAAGGTTGAGAACAGCATCGCGCTTGCCCCAGTACCTAGTGAAGCACAATTAGATTCCACCAAACGTGCGTATGATCGGACACAGAGTGGGAGGCATACTTGATGACGGCGATGTTGACAGGGGCGGTGGTGGTGGCCCGGAAGACCTGACTGTCAGCGGGAGCAGCCATTGTAGGACTATTAAAACAAGCAAAATACACTTGAAAAGACTTGGAGATAAGATATAGAAAGGAAGAAAGATAGAGAGAAGCGTTCAGGGGCGAAGGCTAAAGACGAGCGACGAAAAGGCGGGGGATTTCCTTGTTGGGAAAGTTTGGGGCTTTTGTTGTCGGGTTCCCGAGGCGGTGAGCGGCCAGAATTTGCCCGCCTTTCCGCGCGATCCAATCGATTTGCAATCAAACCTCATTATCCCATCCACTCCTCTCGCTGCAAGTGTCGCGGCCGGGTTTCTGTTTGTCACTCCATTCCAATCCTCACCTAGAACAATGGGTGCTGGTGCAAGTACTCCGTCACCCGAGCCGCCTGCGGCTGGGGTATGCCCTGTTGATCACAAAACTCGCGAGGCCTGGTTGCAGCAGCATCAAGCATCTGGCGGCGCTGCACCTCCTCACCCTCTGCCCTCCGAAGATGGACAGGAATCGAAAGGCAAATCTCAAAGGCCTCTGTCGACCGACCGTGAAGTGAGCAGTATACCGCGAGCCATTGACACTACTTCCCAGCCGTCGAGTGCCGACTCTTCAAATGCGCCCGCGTCACCTTACGCTGCCACGGCCGCATCGCATGGCACCCCATCCAATGCAGAAGCCGAAACAGGTCATGACCCGAACACCGGAAACTGGATCTATCCGTCAGAGCGGCAATTCTTCGAAGCTCTTGTGCGCAAGGGCAACACTCCTAGCTCTACAAACTCCGCCTCCGAACTGGCGACTACCGTCGCATCTATCATTCCTATCCATAACGCCGTCAATGAGCGCGCCTGGCAGCAGATCTTGCAATGGGAAAGCCGGGCTCCCATGTCGGACCCTGGTAGCAAGAAATGTGGAGGCCCAAAGCTGTATGCTTTCCGCGGTCTGGGTGTCGACCCGCAGTTTTTGAGCCCCCGCGCCCGTATAAATAACCTGATGGGCTACCAGCTTCCCTTTGATCGGCACGACTGGGTTGTGGAGAGATGCGGTGGTGAAAGGATTGAATATGTCATCGATTTCTACCAAGGGAAATCGTCGGGTGCAAACAATGCTCCCGGCCTCGCTGCCAATGCTGGACCCGGCAAGCTCAGCTTCTACCTGGATGTCCGGCCGAAACTGAACACAGTGGAGGGCTGCCGCATGAGATTCAGCAAGTTTATGGGACTATAAAGCTCCCCAGTGTCTTTCTTCTTACGCTGCATCACAGGCGAACAACGGAGTTTTGGGAACGGTCTTGGGTAAGCAACGCAGTGTACAATTCGTGTATAACAGAAGCTATGTATGATATAGAGCATGGGAAGATAGAAACGGCAAATGTAAATAGAACATCCTCGCTCCGTATGCGCCTGAGAACCCATAGCGATCGACGTAACAGAACACAACGAGCCGCCTGCAGTAGCGAAAAAAGCACAAGCATATGCGTAAACGTACATCGAGAGGATATCATCAAGATAGGGGACAGTCATGATATGCGACATCCGGTGTCGTGGTTGCGGGAGTGGAAGCGAGAATACAGAATCAACGCTCAAGTCTATCCCAGGGTTGCCGCCAGGACGATGATGGTAAGGATAACAGCAAGAATGACAAGCAGACAGCAGGCCTTGTTGCGCGCATTCTTCTGGTATCGGCTGGCGCTACGGAGCTCGACGTTTGCTCCACGAGTGTCATCGCCGACTCGTTCGACATTCTCACTGATAATGTCGAGCTGCCCACCTTGCTCATGAACAATGTGAGCCACGTCCCGGAACAGTTCATTGAGTTCGCCAACACTCTGCTCAATGTTGCGGATCTCAGCCTCGCGCTCGATAATGAGGGCCTCCTGGAAGTCCACTTCATCCTGGTTTGCAAGGCGGGGCTGTTCCTCCAACAGTTGCTCTTGCTGTTGCTGCTGCTGGTGATCACCCCCGGAGCCAGGCTCCGCTTCGTCTACGGCAGTCCGAGCTGCTGCTGCAGACGCTCGTTGCTTCTCCAAGGCACGACGCTGAACGGTCTGGAACTCTTCCAGGGTAGCTTTGAATTCGGACGATAGCTTCTGTTGAGTCCATTTTTGGGAAGGCTGGCGAGAAATACGTTAGCATTGCTTGTCCGATCGCAGCGCACTGGGTTAATATATCTGGGTGTCACATACACTGACATCCTCCCATGTTTGGACCTTCTTGATCCCATCTGCGACATCCCTGAATCCCGCCCGAGTATCCTCCAAGAGCTTGTGGACTCTCTCGCGCACACGCTCGGTGTCTCGCCTTGTTCCCAGAAGGGCAATCTGATCGGACAACCGAGTGATGTTGGAGGTCAGGGTAAACAGTTGGTTGGAGAGACCCTCGGTCAAACGATGGAATTCGGGGTCATCGCGATATTGGGGATCGTCGGAGCGACGGAAAGTTGTAGGTTGCGCCTCTAGCGAGTTCAAGCGATCAAACGACATGGTGGAATGAGATGCGACAGTGGATGGATGAAGGTGGGATCATCCGGCCGATGCAACCGGCCGGCTGTCTCCCTGCTAAAGTAGTAGTACGTTATCGCTGTCAGGTGTCAATGGTTGCCTGGCTGTGTGGGTGCCATGATTCGCAGGCAGCAACTCACCTGACGCCATCGATGGCTGGTGGGGTGTCACATGATACGGCGTTTGTGGCTAGTGCGTGTTTTGATGCTTTGCCCGAAAAGCTTCACTTTATTGTCGCATCCGACGCCGACACTCCTCGAAGCTCCACTTGCCCCCCTTCGGAGCTTTCCGTTCTGACAGGCTGACCGGATACTTCAATTGCTTTGTCACCTGATCATGCAGTGAAATTGTTTTGTCTCTTCTCTCCCTAGAGATCTCACAGTCCCTCTTCCACCTTGCACCATGGTTGCAGCACAGCCTCGCCCGTATCGGCGCATCTTGACCTCTGCGCTGCACAGACGGTTCGTTCATGCGTCGGCACTGGCGCTTTTGGTCTGCTATGTAGTGGCATTCGCTATTGGGGATAAATCGTCCTGTAGGTATACACCAACACCGGGTAGCGTTTGAAAAGTTGTGATCGCTAACCACCTGGATACCTCGATAGTCTTATGGGCTTGGTTCCCCGTTGGAGGATGTGGAATTCGCACAGTTCTTCTCTTCCTATGCAGTCTCGTCGTCTTCGTCCTCCGTGTTGGTCAGATGCACATCGGTGCCAGGACAACCTCCTCCCCACTCAGCACCTTCAAATACCTCGTTCCCCTCGACGTTATACAGACTTTCGGCTGGTACTTGTTCTCCGCCTGGTGGTTCAGTGAAATCTACAGGTGGTCTTCTTCAAGTACTGCACACCTTGAATTGGTGAATAGAGCTAGGTATGTTTCCTGCGACAACGAGCTTAAGCAATGTCTCGGATTTGCCTAACTAGTAATGGTAGACCTCACGAACGAGCAAGCTTGAACGAAAGAGCGATCTATCTTTATGCCTATCACTTTCTCCTGGCAGTCTCGCAATCAGTGGCGCATCTTTATTACGACTACGATCGTGTCCCTCTTCCCGTTGCCAGGAGGGTCGCTGGCTCCGCTGATGAAGGTAGCCGGCAGGAGCAATCGATCTCCAAACGCCTTCAGTCAGCGTTACCGCAGATCATCAAGGATGGCTTGAAACGGAGTATTCTGGTTGCCATTATTTGCCCGTTCGCATACGCATTCGTCCTCCGACGCCCGGCATGGCGCACCACTTTGTTCTTCGCAAAGCTGTTTTGGGATTTCCCGAGATCTGCCGCAAGCCCTCCCGGTGTTATCCCGCCAATCTTCGGAGTTATCGTGCGCACTTTGATCTCAGGAGGCCTCCTAGTTCTCTGCTGGCAGACAGCCAACCTCTTTTTCTCTGTGTTCCTCAGCAAAGAGCCACTCAAGCGAGGCCAGCCTCTGACGGCTGAAGCCAAGGATCCCAACGGCAGCCTGCTGAATGGACTAAAAGCAAAGAAGGAAACTGTTCGCGCGTTCGCATTCTGGGAGCTGTACTTCATCAGCCAGAGATTTCCTGATCGTCGGAAAGCCATCTTCAACGACATCGATCGCGAGGAGGGGGCAGCTTGGTCGCAAATTTTGCAAGCCGCCACAGATGTGATCACGGGCGTTACCACTCGCATCAGCGAGGCCAAGAACCCATCATCTGGCCCTAAGCCTGCGCCAGTCCAGCAGTCAGAGCCCGTCCTTCACTCCCTGCCACGGTTGACAGATCCCCCTAAAGCGGACAACATCTTCGCTCCGTCTCCCAAGGCTTCAACCCGCCAACAGAAAATCGGCGAAGCCTTCACCACCACCGCTAGAGCTTACGGCAACTCCCCAGACTGGACGCCTACCGCACGCGCCAGGGCCCGCGAGGTCTTGGACCGCGCCTCCTCCGCCATGCTGAGCCCGGAACGCAAGCAGAAGCTGCTCGGTTCCTCCCAGGAGCTCAAGATGCTCACCGCACCATCAACCAGCAAGCCCGAGAACCTGCATCCCTTCCTCGCTCAGCTCCTCCGCTCCCCACTAGGCCGACTCTTCCGTCAAACCTACGCTCGTCGCCTCTCTGGCATTGTCCTCGGCACACCCCACGCAACCATCTGCTCCGTCATCGACGCCACCGAATCCCTCACCTGCCTTCTCATCAAGAGTCTCGCGGAGGACCAATACGGCAAGGTCCAAGCCGACGTGGCCACCGTCGTACGCCTCCTAACCGATACCATCACGACCCTCGAACCTTTTATCAACGGCGGCCTCGACGCCCACTGGACTGACGTCAACTTCCCCCCATCCAGCAACCCGGAAGCACAAGCCGCGGCTCGCCGTGTCCCCGACGTCGACCTCGTCCTGGACACGATGAAGGCATCCCTGAAGGACCTCCTGTCCTCCTTCGGTCCTTATTTCAAGAACCTCGGTCTTGGACCCAAGGACTTGCGACTGGCCAAGGAAGCTGCCGGTGTCGTGGAAGAGGATCCCTTTATCTAAGGGCAGTGCGCGTAGGCGCAGACATGTAGTGTATGTATTGCTTGGGGGTTCTGATTCGGGAGTTGGAGTGTGTCCTTGCTTGTTTACTTGACCGTTTTTTATAACATCACATGATTCACATTCAACTTGGACCAGAGTCATACCTGTTCTCCTTGTTGTATGGTATGGTCTACCTAACTGACTCCATCCACATATAGCGCCACGATCACGTGTTACGATGGTTGAAGTCGGTTAGCTTTGACCGTCACCTTCTTCATTCTCGTTACCCTTCGATGTTATCGTTGTTGTTAACAGTTCCTTGTGGCTGGTATTCCTCTCATAATGCCCCCTCCCCTTTCCCTTGGAAAAGTTACGACCTAGACTCTGTGGGTTTTGGCTATGCATTGCTCTGGCGTTTTAGTGGGCAGGCAGTCAGTGAGTGTGTAACTGACTGTATGTATGTATTATTTTTACTTGTTTACTTGATTTAGTGAATGAGAGGGTTTAGAGTTCATTTACTACTACTTACTGGCATGAACAAGTTCCTGTAGTATTAAGTTCTATGAGCGCTCCTGAGATATGTAATAGTTAGTAGGTACTAGAAGATTTATCTATTATCCGTCCATAGATGGAAATTGGTTCTTCCTTAGTTCTACTTAGGTATATACATATACCCAGCACTTAGCTAGGTTCAGAGATGTTCTAACATGGACATACATATTCCAAGACAAGACAGGTAGGTAGATGGGCGCGATTTCGAAGCAAGCCAGCTGGCCCAATCACCGTCGCCGTACAATGCTTGCAGGTGTGGATAAAGTTAAAAGGAAAAGAAAAGAAAAGTGACGAAGGGAAGAAGCAAGAAATCAAAGCAGGCCATTAATGCAAACCCAAACTCACGATGAGCCGCCTCGCCAATAATCATCCGTCCAGGACTCCGAGTTTTGTTATCGCCAAAGAAACAGATTTGAATAAAGCAAGATGTTTCCGTCATGTCACATCAATACCACTGTGCCCCGAGATCCGTTTTAAAAGATTCCCCCTTTTTCCCGGTGAAATTATGATACCCAGATTCCCCGTTATATGCTAAATGCGTCAAAGATTCAGGACCACAAATGGAAAATCCCCGTTGAACGCCAGGTTGGATCACGGGCGCAGTGATGAAATAGGTAGGGAGAAAGGTGTGTATATATGAGAAGGTTAGATGAAGCATGCTCTTACTAAGAGCTTTGGCATCGTTCAGCAATCGGCCGGCGTGGGCGTTATTAGTCCCCACGAGGCACATTTGCTGTCAGCAACCACTGAGAACCTCGTTGATCTTATTTGATGTAAGCGTCCCGCTTCCATTGCCTCCACCATTCTTGGGCTCGGGGGGTGCTTCTTCCTTCATGCAAGCGTTCTCCAATATGTTAGTCCACTTCCCGCTCGTACCAGCATGGCTATGTTTCAGATGCTGTCGGAAATGGTCGGCACGGTAGAACTTCTTCGCATTGTTGCACTCTCCGAATTTGTGCACTGCGGTAAGATGCTCGAATCTGCGGTCCCAGTCTGGCTGTGGGAAATTCGGGAACTCTTCACCACAGTACCCGCAAATGTCATGGGAAGGCCCGGAACTCGTTTGGGCCGAAGAAGATGAAGGATGGAACGCTGCTTGATATCCAGGAAGTGCTGCACAAGACCAAGAGTGACGCCGCAAGTGGAGAGAATTCTGATGGCGCTCTGCCTCGTTCTTGTTCTTGAACCGGTTGTTGCAGTATAAGCATGAGTACTGCTTCTCCATCTCGTGGGCACTATGAAGGGTGTTAGACAAAACAATCAGCCGCGACTAGAAAACGAGGAGACAAATCCTTACCGAAGTTCCTCTGGACTGTCGAACTTTTTGGGCTTCTTAGGACAACAATCGCAAATGTACAGCCCGCCCATCTTCGGCCCTGCTGGCTTTGGTAATGCAAGAGTCGTTTGCATAGATACTTTCCGAGCAGTGTCGACGCTAGATGGTTCCAAGGTGCCGGAACTTGGGGGGTTTCTCGAGATGGACGGGCCCGGAAGATTCACGGGAGAACTAGGGTTGAGAATCGACTTGTCATGGAAGGTGTCAAGGTCGGAATTGGGCGACAATCCCCCAGGTGAGCGATCATAGCTCGTCATGCTGCTTCCCCCTAAAGAGAAGGCCGTCGAGGAGTAAGACCCAGAGGTTCGTAGGCTCAAGGATGAAGCAGCTGAGAGGCTTCCGTGACTTGGCGCATAAGGAACATTGACCGATAGAGAGTTGCCAAATGGATGGCCGCTTGTCCGTCGCTGGGAGAGGTCGCCGTTACTCGTGGCCACGTTAAGAACATGTCTATCGCCAACAATCGGCTCACGGGGGGGAGAGGACGCTCTCCGCTTCGTGCCTGGCTTGGTAGCTTCCAAATAAGGTGGCGTTGCTTGTCGGACATTGAAGATTCGAGGGGGGAGCGATTCGTCAGTTGAGAATTCGCCTTCTATATCAGAGAAAACGCCTTGGTCGTAGCTTCCTCGGTTTGATCGACTGGGAAGACTGGTAGTTTCGTCGTATAGGGGTGTCGTTCCACCGCCACGACGGCGCGACAAGTCGCGCATGTACCCTGGTTGGTCATAGTCCACCGCAGACGATGGGGCACTACTCTCAACGCTTGGACTTCGCCCTCCGACGTAATCTTTCCAGCCAATCTTGGTCCCAGGCGATATCCCACCCGACTGGTAGCTACTCGGCCATCTGACATCAAGACTAGACCCCTCGGAACCACCGGGAGAAGGGAGACCACCAAAATTCCTCGAGGGTATCGTGAGGGTCGAAAGTAAGCCCTTGTTCTCGCTACCAGAGCTGATAGACTGTCGTGGAGAAAGCGGTTTTCCTATTTTCGACAAGAGGTGTTGGTCGTAGGCATCTGATGAATCCTTCACGCTTCGTCGAGAGAAGTCTCTCTCTCCCTTCAGGATCGGGCTGGGACTGTTGATTGAAATGGCGTTCCGGAATCCTTCATCCATCGGTGGTGGGGGTTCTATTCTAATGTGGGCCTCGGGACTCCTAGAGAAAGGTAAACCGCTCTGTCGACCATCTAACTCGTCGATAGCCATTTTATCACTTTGAGGCGAAGCTTCCGGGCGACGGTGACCGCCAAAAAGACTCGAGTTGGGATTTATCGGAGCGAGTTTGTGTGGTCCTCTAACATTAGCATGTAGCCAGCCAGCGTCATAGCCGTCCTCAAGGTCACTAATCCGGGGTGGTGGTGGTAATGGCGGAGGGGCGAGATTGCTCATTGAATTCGTTGGAATAGGCATAGGTCCCGAAAATGATTGCCCGGGCATATTACAGGGCGATCTGGCGGGGGGATTCTGGCGGTCGAAACTACCACTGTTGAAGTCATACACGTTAATCGAAGGAGGCGCGAGTCGCGGAATGTCCATCGTACACTAAAGGTGGCGAGAAGCTGTTCATGGACAACAGAAAGGATTGGCCAAGGATGTGTAAGTGTGCACTGGCGTGAACGATATAAAGCAGTAAGTATCGTTCTGGTGAATAGCCCGAAGCCGGGGTTAAAGAACTGTGACGAAAGATCGATGTTCTTGACAGAAGAACCTGCTTCTAAGCCCCGTTCCAAGTGCTGCGGGGGGTGTCGGTAAAGGAGTGGACGAAGTCAAATGGTTGTTCTGCAGCAGGGAAGTGGCAATCCGGAGAGATTAAGCTTAAGTCCTGAGTAGTCAGGTGAATTTGATCGCATACAAAATATCGAATGAGAGCACACTACCTGACTAGGAAGAGCTTTAGTGTTCACTTTGGAAGAAACCGTTGAAAGTACCAGCGATCAACTGTGTTAGTGGCTTTCTGTCAGTTGCGCACAAGCTTGCGAAACTGTCTGTGTGCCATGAAATTGCCGGATAGCGGCAACTTAACAACGAACAGCGCAGAGACCACAAAACATGCTGAAGGACTTTGACTGGGGTAGATTGACGCTCGAGGATGGGTGCGAATTTGAATGGGTTGAAAATGAGAAGGTAATCAGTGAGAAAGGGGCTGGTTCTTCAATGCCTGCACTTGGAGGCTTGAAGTTGATCGACACCTGAGGGTGCTTTCTCTAAGAAAAACCGGCTACTCGTAAGCGAGCTAGTTGGCGCGAAAAAAAGGTGAAGTAACAAGAGGAGAAAGACGAGGAGAAAGAGGCGAAAATGGGATGTTGTCAGAAAGCTGAAAGTCACATGCACCTATTCTCAGCGACCAGAAGGCGGATTGAGGCGCAATGCTAATGGCGGCGGAAAGAATGGCTCGAGGGCGATGGCGGGCGGAGGTCGCGGAGGCGAAAAAGAAGACCTGCAGGCGCTGTGGTGGAGGTACTGGGATTGCCGTTGCTAGGCGCAGCGGATATGAAAACCGAGAACGGAGGTGAAGCTTTGATAGCGGATCAAGAAAGTAAGAGACGTGGTGTAGATGTAGTAGATAGATAAATAGATAGGTTGATGTAGAATGGGCAGAAGAATGGTGTGGTTGCAGACCCCGGCCTTACGGTCCCTACAAGGCTCGGGGAAAGGAAATGGGCTGTAATTGCAAGGACTAATTCCCTGTTTTTCGTTTGTCTCACAGTCGGGGGGTTCTCGATTTGAGTCTCGCTTCGTAGGCACCCAAGAAACGGGCAGAATTCAAGGCTGAAAGGGGGGTAATAGATGAAGAGGATAGTAGTTGATACGGCCAGACAGAGGAAGTTGAAGAGAGGAGAATGGAGGGAAGAAGGCAAGAAAGGCAGATAATATTAAGGTCGTCTGCGATGATGATACAACATTGGTATTTGAACATCCGTTTCAAACTGGAGTTTGGTCCGAGTGGGCACCTTTGAAGTTGGGCTGGCCAACGGGAGCAGCGTGCCTTTTCCTTCAATGTCACGGCGGTAATGCACGCAGCACCAGCGGCAAATGAAATTTGCAAGGCCAGAAATTCGAAGGGGGGTCATGTATGGAGTATAATACCTTCTAGTGACCGGCCTACCGGGCTGGATGGAGCAGAGAAGCTCCAGCGAAGGAGACAAAAACAGCAGAGCCAGGAATAAATAACTAACATTTATATTTATCATTTGAAGCACTGATCTCAATAACAATTATTCTAGTCATTCTTAAGGCCACATTATTCATCCACTCGTCAGCACTTCC